TCACTGCCACTATTCGAAGTTCAGGCACTCTTTACTTTTCTTAGGAGCACTGCTAAAGACAATCCCCCACTGTTTCTTCAGTCAGTCTAAACCACAGGAAAGTTTTCTATTACTGTGTTTAGTCTTCACCACTCCCTTCTTCTTTTAAAGAGTGGTTTTCTGAAGCCATTTGGGGTTTTTTTGTCTGTGTTCTGTCTAGCACTGTCTTTTCTGATTATTTACTGGTTTACTGCATTCTATCTATACCTTACTGCACCACTACCATTTCTAATCCTGTGCCTTTTCTAGCTCTGATTTACTCAACTTTAATTTCCTCTTTTCCTTTCTTTTTTAACTTTCTCATCTAGAAATAATGTTTTATAATCTTTTTTTGTCAGCAAGATGGAGGTGTCACATACTTGCTGGTGTGCAGATGCTTTCCTTCTAACTCCATCTTTTCCATCCTGCCACTAGAAGGTGTTGATTCTAAAGGAAGACTTAGTGGTAGGTACATGGTTAGTATTATCTATGTGAAAGCAAAGATAGGCTTTATTTAGAGAATTTTAAAAATAAATTGAGACTGAATGTGTTGTTCTCTACTTGACTAGTTAATCCTCTATTGCTTGTGTGTTTTTTAAATTTCGAATGCCATATAGCTAGCTAGTTTATTCTTAAACTTCTAAAAATACATGAATGAAAGGGAATAAAACAGAATACGAACTTTACACGGGAGTTCCCTTATGGAACCTTAAAACCGATTACTGCCACTTTCTGTAAGATTCAGATCAGATGTGATCATCTGGAAAGTCAGTCTTCCAGAATAAATGTCAAGCAGCATAATTACCCAAAAAAAGGCAAATTTTACAGATGTCTTTCAAGGCTTGCAAAACCCAGTGTGATGGGTCCTTATCCCTCCTATGACTATCCTTTGACAGAAACAGAATTGCCAGAGGGAAACACTGATTCCATACAATCAATAATTTTTATTTTCATGCTGTCACAATTCAGTAGCAAATTAGGAATCAGAGGATCTACCAAGAAATGCCAGATGGTTCATTACAAAGTATAGCAGCTATCCTTTTTCCTCCAATGACTCATTTTAAACTGGTGGAAAAGGAAGTTACTTTAATCTGCCCTGTACAGCTCTATAATAAAAACAGACACGCAAATAAAGGTTGCGGTATCAAGCTACTCACTGGATTCACCTAGCCTGCCATGCAATGTAATCATTCAGCAGTTTCACAAAACAGATCATGTATTTCCACCAAGGTATCTTTACTCTCACCACCCTACTGGCCCTTGTCTAATGGAGTTCACAGTGTCAGGGCAGACAAGGAAATAGCTGTCAGTATGAACTGGGTCAACACCTACACAGGGGAGACACCAAGGACTTGAGCTGACCATGAACATTGTACCTCAAAGCCAATACATGGGCAGTTAGCAGCACTCTCATTAGATGCCATGTCAAAGGTGGCTCCTGACTCAAGAGCCTGGAAGTGAAAAGCAAAAGCAATTTTAGAGGGATACACATGAATGGCTTGAAAGAAAAAGCAACTTCTTACTTCAACCAATTAGCAATACGCCTATTTCCAAAGCAACCACGACCACGTATTTGAACAGAAAATAAGGGATAAAGAAGTTACTAAAAAATCATCTCAATATTTACTATCTTTGGGTTCTAACTTTGCAAAACCAATAGCTCAGAACTCTTAATAAATCCTTGGGATTATTAAAGGATAGTTTCTTAGACATACTAGGCTGAAACTCTTTTCTTTTTCTTTTTACTTGTACCACTTTAGGGATTAATTTGGTGTGTTTAAGAATGTAACAGACTAGACATACTCTTCTGAGCTCAGTCTCAGTTATTACAGCACAGCCAAACTCTTATCACTGTGGTTTGCTAGAGATAACAACTCTATCCCTCAGCCAAGCATAAAGATGCAAGCAGTGTAAAAAGAAGTGGTCCAAGGGGACATTTTTCACCTTGCTTCACTAAAAAAGGTTCATTTTCAAGTTAATTCTTTCCATCTCCCTAACCCCAAAAAAAAAAAAAAAAAAAAAGACAGCTTAATTCCTACTGCTAGGTGAGCATATTAGCAAATTCTAAAATACAGCCCAATAAGAAATTTATATGATTGTCTCACCTATGTAGCTGGATTATGTGTTTATAAAATTCAATCTTTCAAAAACTTTTGGAAGATTGCTCAAGTGTATCAATATTGGACCTGCAGCCACAATTTCTCCACAGCACTAACGTAAATTACATCAGTTGGAGAGGTAAGTGCACACACTCCTCTGAAGAAAAAAAAAAAAAAAGAAAAAAATTTATGGGTTTTACATAAATGCAGTCACACAAGTTCCTTTTTCCCACTTGAAAATTACCAGGCATCTCTAAGCATCCTGGTAATTCTGGGGAAAAAAATATTTTGGGCACCACAACCGCCTTTTACTTTCAGACACCTGGTACCTCATTATTCTATTACTGTCTTGAAGTCTAGAGACTGAACAAGAAATCATTGAAACAAAGCAACGGATCAGCAAAAGTTGAATTAGTTTTAAAATTTAGATATGGCATTGAGATAGATAACTATAAAACTCAAGAAGAACATGTACTTATCTTTATCTCTAAACAGGATATAATTTTAAAATAAAGTTTAAACATTTCCTTGCAATATTAGTAATTCAAATGTTGTTGGAATGTGAAAATAACTAATTTTTCATCCTTAAGCTGTTTATACGATTTTTGAAAATCTTTTCCACTTTAATAACCTACACTTTTAATAAACACTTGACACAGGATTTCTTTAAATATGCCTATATATTAAAATTCTCTTATCTTTCAAGTATTTTTAAAAGATGGTTAAATTGATCCACTTTGCAAGACAATGTTTATACTACCTCTTTTTAGCAGTATTGTAAACTGAATGCAATCTGTTTTTTAAGATAATCCACAGCTGCTTCAAACTGTCCTTTCTGAAGCTCTAGTGCTTTTTTCAAAGTACTTTAATGAAGAATGCCTTTAATTAGTATTCATTTCAAGTAGATTTTTATTCATTTCATAAAAATCTGGTCTAAGGAGAGTTCTCATCATTGCAAATAACTGACTAAATACTAACATCCTAAAAATTAGAGCTAGCAGTAACATAATTCATATGCCATTTTCCCAGATTTCCTTTACTACTGCTTTTCAGCATATCTTCATCTTGCTATAAAACTTAAAAGACTCTGTTACACACTGAAGAAGGTTTGAACTGAAAGGTTAAATGGTTAAATTTCACCAGAGCTGAATGTTTTATGTAATACCAACCTCGCAGAACACTGACAATGATAAATATTGTGCAATTAACTGCCTTTTATTGGGTCCTTTCTGTCCCAAGGACCAGAAGCACAATACTGAGCCACGGGAGAAAATGCCTAAGAAATCTGTATTTTCTGCTTTGATTAGCTTTAGTTAGCCTTTTGCTGACTTTTTGTACTTAAGCATGTATGTGCAATCTAAAAAGACCATAAGAAAATTAAAGTTTCCCAGCCTTCCTGTTGTTCTTTCTTCATCTATGGAGAGATTTTAGCAAAAATGCAATGTTCTCTGTCTTTATTTGGACTGAAGTGTATTATCTCTACCTCTGGATGGAGAAACAGAGATGAAGTGAGGTACATGGGCTGAAGCCATATAGTGAGCCAATGCCGATTAGTAAAATAACACCTTTCCAACTACTCTTTAACTTCACAGTACTGCACTTCTAGCAAGTTGTGATATAAAACACCTCACTTCTTTGCATGGATCTCAAACTAGGATGTATGAAATGTGAACACCAGAAAGCACTAAGCCATGGTGAAATGAATTTGAGTAAGGCATTTCATCAGTCAGAGACCAGCTGAGGCAAACACTGCTTGTAGGATACAGTCATTTACCAACCATGTGCAATTTTGCTGACAGCATTATGAGCATTATTGGCATTAGAGTACCACTTCATTAAGTTTAATAATTCGGGATTTTCGTAACACCTGCCACTTAGGTTCAGTCTTTGTACAACTTTTTTTTTTTTTTTTTTTTTAAGCTAACTTCTACATGTTCACATTATCACGCAGTTTGAAGCTTTGGTGTTCTCCACATGTGTTGAAACTATCACCCCACTCAAAGCCCAAACAACAACTTCTATTGTTTTCTGACTATATCATCTTTTTGAGTGATTTTTTTCCCCCTAACTCAAGTCGTAAGAAGCTGTGTTATTTGAAATACAAAGTTGATGTCTTCAGAACAAGAGACACATGGAGCTCTTAGAGCAGGTCCAGTGGAGAGCTTTAAAGTTGATCACAGAACTGGATCATCTCTCTCACAAGGAAAAGCTGAGTGAGCTGGGCCTGTTCAGCCTCCAGAAGAGATGGCTGAGGGGGATCTCACCAATATCTGCCAGTATCTAAAGGGGGAGGGTGGGGGTGCAAATGGAGCCAGGCTCTTCTTGGTGGTGCCCAGCAATAGGACAAGAGGCAACAGCCTGAAAGTGATGCACATTAAACTCCGCTGGAATGTAAGGAAGAACATCTTTACTGTGCAGATAACCAAGCACTGAAACAGGTTGCCCAGCGAGGGTGTGGAGCCTCCCTCACTGGAGATATTCAATAACTGTCTGGACACAATCCTGTGCCATGTGCTCTGGGATGGCCCTGCTTGAGCAAGGAGGTTGGACCAGGTGACATCACTGTGGTCGCTCCCAGCCTGACGCATTCTGTGATTCTGTGAAAGAACCGCATGGCCCCTCAGTGTTGGCCAGCTTCTGAAGCGCTGTGCTCGAAGGAAGGAATCACTGAGGGGGATGGGACACCCGAGGAAATGGGCGAGCCTGGCTGCTTACCCACACGACTCCGAGCTCGGGGTGAGCTGGGTGTTTGCTCCCAAGCTCTGGCAGTTCTACACCGAACCCGGTACCTTGGCCGCCCCATGAGCCCGCGGCCGCGGCTGTGCCCGGGGCGGGCCCACAGCCCCGGACGCGGCTCCGGGCTCCATGGGGGCGGCACGACGGCTGCGCAGCGCAAAGCGAGGCACGCCCGCCTGGCCGGGGGCTGCCGACAGCGGGGCACGGCCGCCCGGCGGAGCCGCGCTCGCCGCCCCCAGCGCCGGGGTTGAACCGCGCAGGCGGCACCGCTGATCCGGCGAGAGGGCGAGCGCAGCCAGGCGGGTGTTGCTGCCGCCTCGCCGCGCCGCGGAGCCGCCCTCACGCCGCCGCACCACCATTGCCCGCCGGCGCGGCGCAGCTCGGCTCTCGGGGCGGGCAGGCGGCGCTCGGACGAGGCGTCAGGGGACGGATCGGTAGTCGAGGGCAGATAGTGAAGGGGGAGAGAGAGGGTGGGAAAGCGGCGCGGGAGGCTGCAAGCAGCGGCCTTCTTGAGTCTGGAGAGGTGGGGGGCCGCTTCCTTCACCGCCCCGGTCTGTTAGAGGTTGCTCCGGGTGTGTGTGTTTGGGGGTGGGGGTGGGGGCAGTGAGGGTGTCAGGAAGGGCTTGTCGGTGGCCGTGGTTTTTGTCTGGGCCGCCTGGGCTTCCTTTCTGTCGATCTGGGCTCCCCCGACTGTCCCCGGAGGCGGCAGCCGTGGGAGGTTGTCTCCCTCTCCCAGGTCGGGCCTGCACCCATCGTGGGTGCCGGGCTGGAGAAAGGTGCGCTGGTGAGTGGGGTTTGTGGGTTCTGCTGCTGTCTCTGCGCCGCCGAGATGCCGCAGCTGAGGTCAGGCAGAGTGGTGAGGGGCAGCGAGGTAAAGCCATTTGACCCGGAGGTCAGCAGCCCCGGCTTTTCCCGGGCAGGGTGTGAGTTAGAGGGGAAACTGGTAGGCGAGCAGAGTCGTCACCGGGCACCAAAGAGAAAGCCTGAGCAGCCCTTACCTTCCTTTGCACAATCTGCCAGGGTTTCTCAGGCTTTTTTTGCTCTTCCTGTGCCCATTCAGAAGGAGCAAGGTGACAAAAGACAGAAATTCCCAGGTAAAAAAACCAAGGGAATCCAGCACAGGAAGTTTCCCAGAAGAAGCAAGGCTGTACCTTCACTAGTTTCAGAGACAGCTGAGTGTGAAGATTGGCAAGCAGCAGCCACGGCTGCACCAGTGTGCTGGGAAGAGACTCTGAGAGGGACAGGTCAAAGTCAACAGCTGTTTTTCTCAGGAGCTCCTTTGCAGAAAAAATTCTCAGCAGAGATTGAAAGGAATGAACATTGCTCAGAAGACCTGAACTTTTCTGGCTTCCACAAGGGTACAGGGAGCTCAGAAACAGAAGGCAAACATTCCTGTATAAAAATAAAATTAAAAGTCCCATCCTTGAAGAGGGAAATTGAGAGCACAGAGAGACATGGAATATCCTGTTTTCCAGAACCGGAAGTTCTTCAACCCAAAAAGATCACATGGAGTAATGAAATGCAATGTACTGACTGCACAATGACACAGAATATGCAAATTCCAGATTTTAGGAAGAATTTGAGTGCTCAGGAAGCTGTGCCTGAACCAAAACCACAGGAAGAGGCTGATACACTAGAGAAGTTGAATGCGTATCCGTTAGTTGGATCAAGAACACTAGGGACACAGGAAGAAGAAAATAAATGCTTGGGCAAGAAAGATAGGAGATCAGTGGGGAAACCAAAAGTACATGATCCCATGCAGAGTTCTGCCTTGCTAAAACAGCATACACAGTGTCCAGAGTCCAGGAAAGGAGCGCTGAATATGAGGAACAGAAATGCCTTGCTGCCACAGCAGCTGCAGGATCTGAGCGGACAAAAAAAAACAACAACCAGAAGAAAGACTCGGAAGCGTTGCATGAAAGAAGAGCAGCAGAGCTCAAGCCCTCAGAAACGGCCAGACAGCCCAGGGGAAAGTGGTAAGCACTGGTAGCTTCATTGTAGAAGTAGAGTTAAAGAATTTGGGCTCCCAAATTGGTCCTGCGGTAAGACCCCTTTAAAAACTGGGTGCTGACTTAGTTTGAGAAAAGCTAGGGTGTACTTCACAGTACTGTTAATACCACAAGTCTTAGAAGACATATTTTCAGAAAGAGGAAAGACTTTTCCGAAGGAGAAGAGCAGTCTATTTAACATGAAGGAGAGGAGACCAGTTAGCCTTTCAAGGGGGTAAAGAAAGGGAGGGAGGAAGAGAGAGATGAAGGGATATGGACAGAAACAGGCAGGCTGTTGGTAGGAAGTGCTGGGAGTTTGTTTCTGTCAAAAGCATTCCCCATTTTTTCAGAAGTGATGAGCCACAAGCAAGAAAGGGGGCAGTAGTTTCAGCAGTGCCAGAATAAAAGACAGTTAATTCCTCATTCATCTATTATCTGTTTATTTTTGATTATGTATGATGCTGTCTTGTTACAGTGTCTGCTTTTATAGGATGCTGGGGTTTGCTCTCAGAACTTTTTAGTTGGCATTTTATGAAAAATCCCAAAAGATGTAGAAGCAGTGATTGTGTTTTGATGTTTTAAGAGAATGTTGAATCAAACTGGAACAATTCTGAAAGAGGAGTTTTTAAGGTCTCTTTTTTTTTCAGTATGATTGTCTAAAACCATTCTTTTTACTTTTGAACTGGATACTTTCAAATGACATATACTTACTGTAGATAATTAATATTTTATCTAAAAACCATATTCTGAAAAACTGAAGTGTTAACATTGTGTTTTACCTTAAAAACAAAGGTCTAAAAAAACCCCAGCATTATATTAGTATGCTCTTGAGTTCATTCTCTAGTCTAAATTTTCAGATATACAGTTTTTTACATAATCTGTATTTGCTTTTAAATAAAAAGTAGTAGTATCTAAAAATACAAGTTCTTCAATTTTTCTGGATCTTCTTGATCAGTCGGATGCATTTGGTTGGACTGTGTCTCTGAAAGATATTCTTATGAGTAAGTGTTCCTACTACAGAGAACCTGCTGTGTAAACAAAAGATTTTAAGGCTGAGCATGCAAACAGCATCTGCATTTTCTTGCCAGATTTGCTCTAATTTGTTTTCCACCTATGTGGAATGCACAACAAATACACAACTTCCAGTCTCCTTATGACACCATATGGTTCTGTTCCTCGTTGCATTTGTTCCTGAAAATAATACATCCTTTTTACTCTAAGTGTCCCAATAGTCCCATTAAAAAAAAAAATCATAAAACTTCACAGAAATATTTTTGCCTTATATGATGTCATATTCTTTAGCAGCCTTTAATGTTTGGGGTTTTTGGTTGTCTTTATAAAATAGGGTAATTTTTTTTTTCCTAGGAGTTTTCTGTAATGACACTTCTTTGGTTTTTTAATCAGCAGAGGAACCGCTGAAAGCAACTGAGCAAGACTCTGGTACTTCACAGGCTGTAAAGAAGGTTAAGACAAAGCAAAACAGCGTAGAAGATTCTAAGGAAAAGGAATCTCACTATTCTAGATCTTCTACAGTTTCTACTTCAGGTGACACTGAAAGCAAGAGCTTTTTGTGCCATGCTGTAACAAAAGAGCCAGGTGTGCAGTGTAGAAAAAGGCAACACAGATCTGGTCAAATCAAGCACTTGCGAAGTTTAAGTGTGACTGCAGCTGAAGAAGTGATGAATACATCTGCAAAATGTGATGCTAAACATGTCCTACACCATTGTAGTGGCTTGCTCTGTGCAACTGAAAAAAATCCAGTTGTGGTATTAGAGCACTGTAGTTACATCAATACATTAGTGAAGCCTTCAGCTAGTGGAACTACCAACACTTATAAGTTAAATGGATTGTTCTGTGTAGCCCATGGTACTGGAGACCTGAATGATAGAATTTGCATCACTAATAGAAAGCAAAATAAGAGATCACTCATAAAAGATGGTTTATCACCTAATAAAGAAAAGAATGAAAATGAAGAAGACTGTGTTTCATGCTGCCTGAGTGAAAACAGTAAGTGTTTAAGGGGAAAAAAGTGGAATATTGGTAGAAAGCCTAGAAAAAAGATGAAAATCACAAAGAAATCTGCAGACATGGCTAGTAAATGCAAGTGTGAGTTACAAACAGAAGCAGTAGTTGCCATGTCAAGCTCATGTTCAGTTTCAGGACTAAATCATACAAATACAGAAAAAAATACTCAGGAGGTACAAACTGTATCAGCTTGGAGAAAGAACAGTACCCCATTACTTGCATTTGAAACGGGCTTTAAGAAGACATCTGAGCTCTCTGCAGTAGTAAAAGTAGAAAATTCAAGCAGTGTGGCACATTATGCCTCAGATAGCCTTCGAGTGTTAGCTCAGATCCATGATGTTCCTGATCATCACAAAAGCAAGACAGGAAGAAATTTGAACAAAGTTACTAAGAAATTGCAGCAGTTTACCTGTCAAAGAACAATACCCATGACTGGTAAAAAAGTTTGGCCTGTTGAATCTTGTGCCAGGACTTCTGAATGGTTTCTTAAAAAACATAGGTCAATCTCAGAAGGAAAAAGACTTTTAAAGGCTGCTTTTGAGGATTCCTCTGGTAAAATCAGTGTTAAAGCTGTGGAACATAGTGCAGTGACTGGGAATGTGAGACAGCTGGATTTCCATACATCGTTGGCAGAAATTACAAAAGAAATTACACATAAAAAGATTGATCTAAATATTGACTGTCAGGCTTCACTTGAAACAATGGAATCCTCTTCTGCAGATATTTATGAGACTTTGACAGTGAACAATGAAAATGGGGAATCACCAGTTAATACAGATAAAAATGCCATGGTTTTAAACCATGATGATGTGCAAGAAGTTAAAGCAACCTTGACTTTTACAGCAAAACCAGAAGATGAAGGAGATGTAACAGAAAGAAACCTGTCTGTGACAGTCCAGAAAGACACAATGAAACTAAAGGATAAAAATGAAGGAGATGTGACAGACAGAAACCTGCCTGCAACAGTCCAGAATGGTACAATAAAACAAGAAGATAAAGATGAAGGAGTTGTGACAAACAGAAACCTGTCTGTGACAGTCCAGAAAAACACAACGAAACAAAAGGATAAAAATGACGGAGATGTGACAAACAGAAACCTGCCTGCAACAGTACAGAATGGTATAACAAAACAAAACGATAATGATGAAGGAGATGTGACAAATAGAAACTTGTCTGTGACACTCCAGAGTGGTACTTCTTCAAGTAACTCAAACAGTATAAACTTCAGCCCTAAGGTATCAGTAGTGAACCAGATATTTTCTGATTTAAACCTAATTAAACCATTAGCCTCTGGAAACCTGACAAAATTCAAAATTCCTTTATGCAAAAACAAACCTAAATCCAAGAAACGGGAATCTGTCCATTCATTTGAAAGAAAAATTTGTAGTCCATTAGAGCTTCTTGAAAGCACTAGCCCAGGAAGGCAGAAGACAGGTGAAGAGACTTTCTTGGTAAAATCTGAGCAGCGTCCTCTTTCTGTCATGAGTGATGCTACATCTCCAGCTTCCATACAGAAAAAAGCAGATGAGATTGATAGTAAGGACTTCCAGCACAATGGCTCTGTAAACCTCTCTGATGAGATGTCTGTGTTTCCTGAAAATTTTTCTGCATATCCACATCCTCCTCTTGATGGACAGCCAGAGCCATCTCTGCCTGATTTCTATGGTACTGAATGTGTGCTGAAATCTAGTTTTCCTGATCATTCTTGGAATGCAGTCGACCACCTTACTGGATTAGAAATAAATGGTGATAGAAAATCAAGAGGGGATTTTTCGCAACACGAAAGTCAAAATTTACCAGATATTCTTGAAGCTTACAATCAAGATGTTCTTGTCATAGATGTGATTCAGGATGACCCTGACCTTTTTGGAGCCAGTAATCAAGAGGAGCTTGCACCTGCACGCTGTGAAAATTGGGCAGTGAAAGCATCCTCTGCAAACTGCATTGAAGACACAGAGGCGTATAGTAAGCCTGAGTCTCCCATTACCTCAGAAAAGACATATTCAGTAGAGAGTAGTTTTAGGTATGCATATAATTCTTTTTTTAATCACAATCTTCCCAAGTACTTTTATCTCCTATCCATACATGCTTTGGTTGTAGTGGTCAGGCTTCATTAGAGAATTCCACTAATTTCTGTTGAAATTACTTCTGTATTTGATTTCGAGTGTCTTAAGTTTGATTCAGCTATGACAGTAGTCTGTCAGAATGCAGATAAATTAATTTGTTCTTCATAAGAGCTGTGATAAACTGAATTGTAGGACATGGCAGTCCTAAAGGGCTTGTATAAATGAAGTGAAATATGAAAATAGAGCTAATTAAAAATAATACTCTTGATTTGAGATAGCAGATATCCCTTTGAAGCCACTTTTCTTAGTTGTAAAGTGGTACAACACTTAGAAATGTTTTTATTAGGTGTAGCTTGTTCTCCTGAATCTGTAAGAGTGAATGTTGTCTCTACAGTTGTGTTCTGTTCTGCCATTCTTTCCTCTTTTTCTCCTATCCCCAGACATGTGAATATTTTTCAGATATGTGATTTGGTTAAGGTGTTCTAGACCTTTATCATCCTGCATCTTCATTCAGCAAGTTTCTGGTGTACATCATTAGGTGTTAATGTTAGGTGTTAGGTTAACATTAAGTGTTAATGTTTTACTGGGTTTTGAGATAATAATAAAAGTCACAGGAGGAGGAATAGAAATTTATAGTAGAAACTAACTTTTGTGAATGAGATAGTAGTTCGTCATGGAATGAACTCATCTACTAAACATGTTTTCTCTCTTAAGCTTTGATACTTGTGGTTAGTGAAAATGTTTTAAGATAGGATTTTTCTTTTTTTTTTTTTTTAATAGAAGTAGTGCAAGATTTTCCTCCGAAGATTAGGGTTTTTTTATTGGGATGGTGTTTTAATTTTCTTTATGTGCTCTTTCTAGGTGGCTTTATGTTACCTCTATTTTAAGTAACTCTTCAATTATTTTCAGGATTGTACCGCCTTATAACTGCATTCTTTTTTTTTTTTTTTTAAACTCACTTCTCTCCTTATCCTTTCCTTTTCATTAAACCCATCTACAAAAGAGGAAGGGAATCTTCTTTGAGGTACCGAACCATTTTATTAACTTGAGAATATAAAGCTTCTGGATGTTAGCAGAATAAAATTTCTGCCAAAACAAGCCTCTAGAGAACAGGGCAACTCTGTAGTAGGAGCATCCAACTTCTTGAGAAGCAGCTAGGCTGTAGCATAGTAAATTTATTAGAAGGAGTATTCATTTCTTTCTGATACCTGTTGAATTTGTTTGGCATTAGCCAAGGGAAATAAAAACGCATGGTTCTTCTTTCGTAGTATTTCCCCTTGATTTGCTAAAGAAACAGGCAACATTTCCTGTTTTGCTTTTTACCTTCCATAATTTGATGCAAAGATTATTAGATGGTGATTAAACAGAGTTGGCAGCAGTCAGGAACATATTAATGAACTGAATATGAGAATATTGAAATAAGGCAATAGACCTTACCGCAGTTTTTTTTTTGTTTGTTTGTTTTTTGTTGTTGTTTTTTAGTTTTTTTGGGGTTTTTTTTAGTTTTACCAAATACAACTGGGACTTCAACAGGTTATTTCTCTAGTGTTTGCATTTTACATAGAGAAAGTGCTGGTCACTTCCAGGCATCGGGAAAACATTCTGGCCTAAAGCCTGAATGGGGCAGTAAAACTAATTTTTCACATATGCTTTTGTTTGCCATTTTCTTTTGTCTTGACTGGACAGCTTGCTGTCATTACACTTGGTGTCATTCACCAGGTACAGGCTTCTAAAATGTGTGATGATCACGATCATGTTTTATATATTCTGTGTGTAACATTTAAGATACGTATTTGTCCCTCCTGAGCTTTTCTAAGGAGAAGTATTTCTTTTTCCTAACTTATCTTTGAAATAGTCGAAGTATGTATCTTCATATGAATAGTTGTTTTTGTTACTCTCTTTGAGAGTCATTGTTAATCAAATGACCTTGAATATAAAATTACTATAAATCACATTTTTTAGAAACTGATTAATTGGCTATTAGTAGCACTGTATTTTCTTGATTTTGTATACAGAGGAAATTTCCCTTCCCAGTATTTTAGGCAAAGATTGAATTAGAGCATGAGCTTTTATTGAAAAATTGGGGTTTTGAAATGTAATGGTTTTACTTAACATGTTTAGGCATACACCTGAAGGGATGAACATAAGAAAGCCAAAAGAGAAAACTAAAAAGAGTCTTAAAACAGTGTGTTGGATCTAAGTATTCTGTCCATGTCCATAAGTATTACGGAGAACTTTTGATTTTATGTAACTGATAGATTATTCTTGCTTTTGTGCAAGATGAAAATCTTAAATACACTTTTTCTTCAAAACAGATGCATGCAAGAATCTGCAAAGTCAAGTGATACTGAAAATTCCTGTAATTTAGTGTTAAAAGGTAAGGGTCCCTGGAAATTCTTGGTATGTAATCAAAAGAAGAAAAAACAAGAGATGTTTTGACAAAACCAAAGCTTTCTGCTTTCCAAAAAACAAAACAAACAAAAAAAAAAAACAACAAAAAAACTTGTCTGGTTTTGTATTATCTTTTTATTTTAACAGCAATTTGTTTCTTAATGCATATTGAGTCAGCATCTTTCAAAATGACACAAGCCTGAGTCATACAGGGAACATTTATTTCCATGTAGTACTTGTCTGTTGGTAGTATTAGTGGAGTGGGGTTTTTTTAATTTGGTTTTTGTTCTGAGGTTTTTTGATATTTCTCTGACAGTTTTAGGCAAAGAATTCTGTTAGTTGTTAAGATCATAGTAACACTGAGTCCTGTCATACTGCTTTGGAGTTTAGGTCAGAGTTAGAGGTGGTTGTTCTCTTGTGTTCATCAGCACACAGAACTTTATAGCCAGGTCTATTTCCAGGTTTCTGGGGTTTTTGGTGGACGCTGTGGTCATTCCACTGAGACACTGTTTTGTTTTTAAAGGATGCCCATTTTTTACAAAGTAACTGATTTAGTGAGGTTTTTCTTCCTATTTAAAGGAGAACAGTTCAGCTAGGCAGCTGGATGTGAATGTGATTTGCTTTGTTTTCTACAGCTTGCATACCAGAGCTACTGGTATACCTAATGTAGAAGTTTCTACTAGATAGGTTGGAAGAACAGGATTTTGACTTGGAATAAAAGCCGGTTGCTGGCAGTGGTGAACATACAGAGTGCTGAGACTGATTTTGGAGGTTCATGGTGTTTCCCTTCTGGTATAAGTTAGTCAGCTGGTTGTTAATACGACATTCTGACACTACATGTTGATTTTCAAGCCTCAGGCTTGAAAGGTGTCTGTGACAGTACCTCTTGTTCTGGTTTTCCACATTAATGTGTTATGTTCATGTAGAAAGTGATTTAGGCAGATAATGCCTCCTAAGAAGGAGTGACTAGAGACTATTAGGGGAAGAGAAGATTTCAGACTTCAGGTATTAGAAGGCAAAATAAAAGGTATTGGGGTTTTAAGAGCTCAGATACCAAGAAATAGATACAAGTTCCCTGAGGAGGAGTCAAGAGGAAGTGCACAGTTAGGCCTCTGGTCATGTAAAGAGATGGGGGCCTGTGTCATGGAATCTGCAATGCTGAGGTGATTGAAGCCAAACCTGACAGAAAGTTTTGTACTATTCAGTAACTTCTGCATGTTCTTCGTTGTTTTACTTCATGTTCTAGCAAAGTTTGAGGCCAAAAGTCTTTGGTACTTTTTGTGGTGCCTAAGGTCCTTCTTACCAGATCTGAGAAGCAGGATTACATCATAATCTTAGATGAATATGCACACAGTAACTTATGTTTAATGCATGATTTTTAAAAAATACCTCCACAGAACAAAAGAAGTGTGCCTGGGTTTGCTAATTACTGACCATTTATATATTTATTTAGAAATAGGTGTTACTGTTTTGGTATCCTGTGTTAAGTTAGTGAAGTCATGGCTTCTTGCCTTAGTGGCTTCACCATTTAAGAAGGGGAAAAAGTACTAGAGTTAAAATAATTCTGGTTGACATCAATCCTCTTCACCTTTCAAGTGGAAATCTTGTGTATATTGTCTTCAGCTAGATGTGTCTTGTACTTGACGATCATAGAGACCAGTGACTAAGAGAAAAGCCTTTCCAATACTAATCTGATTCTTTCTTCCCGTGTCTGGACAACACAGTGCAGTTGCAAGTCATTTGTGTGATCCAGTAGTGAATTTCTTTTCTATGCAGAACTCTTCTGTTGTACATAAACAGCCCTTTCAGAAAGTTGCAGCCAGGTGTGTCATTCATTTCCCATGGCATCTGCAAAAGGTGCTGAAATTCCCTGACACTGAATTCTTACGGAGTTACTATATTACAGGATTTGGAGTGTCTCAGAGCTTTCTATATTTAGTTCAGGGTTGCATCATGTCAGTATGATTAATTTATGCCCTTTTCTAACAAAGACTAAGTCTTTTTGCTTAGCAAATTGCCACACATATCTTTGGCTGTGTTTTAATAAAAAGCTTAACTGAATTTATTTCTAAAGCATTGAATTCAATATTCTATAAGTAAATAAGTTGTACAGTTCTACAGGGACCATTAAAGAACATACAGCTTGGACAGAATTTTAATTGCAGATTCCGCCTAATATTTATTTGAAATGGTTCCTGCATTAAGCATGAAATATTTTTCCATAGAAATTTCACATTTAGGAGGTCCTAGGAGTTCTTAAATGTCATTAGTTCTAAGCCTTTGTAATATTTCGGAAATAAAAGCTTTGTTATCTTGTAGCATGGGAAATACATAAAGCAATGTGTTTATACATTTTCAGCTGAAGATGTGAAGACCCACAACTCCTCCAGAAGAAGCAGTCCTTCAGGAGATGTTAGTGAGGACTTTCTTAAAGACAGACAACAGAGCAAACTAGATGAACTTTTGACTTTAAGTTTGGACGTGGATGAAAAGGTACTGAGAAATTATGCTTTCTCTCCTTAAATAGTTTAAGAAATTACAATCCACATAATTGGATTATTTTAATTACCAATGCTGTTTTATCAACGAAATCTTAAATTTCCTGAAATAAAAAGAATATTAGCATTTCCTACATGACTGTGTTTTGGCAGTGTAATCTTCTCTTAACAGAACTTGATTTTTTTTTATTGTCACCAACAATTAAGCTTCAAATTGGAAGTGAAACAGGATATTGTTACATCAGTTATTGCAGTAATGCTGTATTCACAACGGTATGAAAATTACAGTTCCAGTGTACACCTATGAGTATTGCTTTGCATTTGACATTTTTACGTAACACCTAATTTTAAATGTTGCTGTTAAATGCCTCTCAATATCAGAAGTATGGGGCAGTGTCGGAAAGCTGGGGAGCTGCACAGCCATCATGCATCAAAGAAGAATCATTCTGAGCTTCATTACTTGGGCAGAAAGGCCTTTAACATACAGATTTCTAGCTGTTCAGAGGGAATCATTTTCATGCTCACTGACTTTATCTGACCTTTCTCTGTCTTCCCACCTCTAGATAATAAGTCTAGGTCTTTTAAGATTTGCTGAAGTTTTATACTATTTGCTTCTTTGATAATGAATTGGAATTTACATCTCTCTGCCACTCATACATAGTTGATGATACCATTTACTGTTTTCCACTACTTAGGAATGGCTAGTGGTTTTAATTGGATAAGTTAAACTGTAAAATTCACAGGGTTAAAGTTGGTAAGTAATTGAGAAGTGAATCAAACAGCAGAAAATGAGTTTCCCTTTCAAAATCATTTTAAAGAAGAGAAACATTTCCTTCAGCAAATGGAATTGGGGCTGCTAACATGCAAGTCACGAAGTTAACAGTGCCATTTTGTTTGCTGATCTTTTGGAGAGACAAAAAAGGTCTGTCGAATTGTAAGGTTTGCTGAAGGTGGGGTACTTGTTGCAGTGTTGCCAGGTCAGTCCCATTTGGGTTGTTCCATAGCTTTGTGGCTTTATAAAATTAGTGTCCTAGTGTTTGCTTTTCTATGCTGTGTTGGACAGTAGAAAATATGTACAAATAATCTCACCCAACCCAAACTCAAACCATAAAATGCATACTAAGCCCTACCTAAACCTGTTTGTATGTGGATAGAAAATAGCAGTGCACACCTGCAGGGGGAATGACATGGCAGAACACTTATTGCAGGTGCTCTACCATCCAGGGAGATTTTCAGATTATGCTTTTTTGATAGTTTTTCCAATGAATCTTGTGAGAAGGGCAAAAATTACACATGGAGAAAATGTTAAAACTATTCAAGAACTGGTAAAATAAACTTTGGAAATCCATTGAGAGAATATGCATTTCTAATTCTTTGGCTATAATACATTTGTGATAGAATATGAAGTCCTAAGTTTCTTCATGAATAATGGATGAAACAAAGCCAGGATTCTATGACTTTATTCTGTATTAGTCTTTTCAGATTCTCTCCTCCAAATATGTTTCTTGCTTTTTTTCTCCACCTCGTTGGGGATTTTTAAACTATCCACAATTGTGTAGAGCTGAGCAAAAGGCTTAAATGCCTCCTCGGTGCAGTTTTAAATTTCATTAAACTTGATGGAATAACTTTTGTGGTGTTCTACACATCTGTCAGGCACAGTTAAAGTTGGGCAATGGGCATAGAAATTGCTGAGATTATCATGGGAGCAAAGAGAAGTGAAGACAGTCACATTGCCTTTTTTCCCAATTAACAATCACTATTTCAAAGAGCACAGTGTATAAAGGCAGTATGTCCATTAAAAAAGACGTTGTAAGAATAATCCTATACACTGAATAACAGTTTCTACAGTTAAGACTGTCTTACTACAATTTGCAGTGATCACTAACAGTTTTAAGTCTGTAGAGTAAAACATAACAGGCTTAGTAGTGCTTTGCTGTACCTGAAAATACTTTTAAATATCTTCACAGTTCAAGCTTGCAGATGGAGTGCCTGATGTTGAAGAAGAAAATAAGACTGAAGCTGGAAAAAGGTACATGTAGTGTGTCCTTCATGTTACCTATGGTATTCCCCAGTTACTATACAAGTAAAATGTGATGTTGTTACCTGAGCACTACCAGTATTTAATTCAGTTTTCCATGTTACTGGTAACTATGAGATGAAGAAAATGAATACATGAAATAATATAATTTCACTCCACAAAGTACAGAACAAGTGTAGTCATAATCTGACAGGACAATAGGGCTTATTTTGACTTTTGACTGGTGACAAAATATATTAACTTCATGACAGTGTCTCACTTTTGCATCTCAATGTGAGTGTAGCATAAGATGCATTTCTTGCCACAATAGGACTTACCAGAACTTAACAAAACCAAAAAATAGTAATAAATAAGTCATGAACCTTTCCTTTTTCTTTTCTGCTTATGAAAGTATTGAAAGATCTCATTCAAATTCAGGCTGACAAATATTTGTACAGCAGTAGGAAAAGGTGCTTAAAAGCATGTCACATGCAGTTAAGGATATGCTTTACTATTCTTCTAGCTTCAAGCTGTGTTTGTGGTGTTTATTGTACACATTTCTTAGTCTGATTTACAGAATGACAGAATCACTGAGTAAGCTGAGTTGGAAGGGATCTGTAGGGATCATTAAGTCCTACTCTTGGCCCACCACAGCACTATTCCCAAGAGTCACACCATGTGCCTGAGAGCATTGTCCAAATTCTTCTTGAACTCTGTCAGGCCAGTGCTGTGACCACTGTAATCAGTTCCTGATCACCCTCTGGGTGAAAAACCTTTTTGTAATATCCAATGTAAGCCTCTCCTGACACATCTTCAGGCCATTTCCTCAGGTCCTGTCACTAGAAAAAAGAGATCAGTGCCTGCCCGTCCTCTTCCCCTCACGAGGAAGTTGCAGACTGCAATGAGGTCTCCCCTCAGTCTCATCTTCTCCAGGCTGAACAGACCAAGTGACCTCTGACATTCCTCACCAGGCTTCCCCTCCAGGCATTTCACCATTTTCATTGTCCTCCTCTGGACACTTTCTAATAGTTTAGTGCCTTTCTTATATTGTGGCACCCCATACTGCACTAAATATTCAAGGTGAGGCCATGCCAGTGGAGAGCAGAGTAGGATAGTCCCGTTCCTTGGCCAGCTGGAGATGCTGTCCTTGATGCCCCCCAGGACACAGGGCCCTGGTTGGCCCTCCTGGCTGCCAGGCCACCGCTGACTCACATTCAACTTGCCATCGACCAGAACTCCCCGGTCCCTTTCCACAGTGCTGCTCTCCAGCCTCTCATTTTCCAGTCTGTCTGTACGTCCAGGGTTGCCCCATCCCAGATACAGAATCCATCACTTTCCCTTGTTGAGCTTCCTATGGTGATTGTCCATGGCTGAATTACTGTCAGACTGAGAAGTTTTCATTCATCAGCAGTCCAGAAGTGACAGAGAATTAGTTTTTGTAGAAAAGGTATACTTAAGATGAAATTCTTAAGTTAGAAGAGAAATAACATACTTTAGAGTGTTATGGTTTAGGAGCAGTAATCACCAATTAGCTACTGCAAAAATTAACCCTGTCCTGGCTGGAACGAGGACATAGTAATTTTCAAAATAACGAAGAAACCTTAGCTGACGTAGAAAGAGTACTGCTTTTTTTTCCAACAGCACTCACATTTCTGCGACAGACCTGATTGTGCCAGAAGTTTGTTAGTGGAGAATACTGCATCTTTTTGTTAATCCACTAGAGAGCTCCAAGCTTCTCCTTCTGCTATAAGATACCCATTTAAATTTGCCTTAGTAGTATAAATACTTCTTTATATTATAGAATAAGTAGATTGTGCTGAACAAAGTATGTTTGTGCAATGCAATACTCTGTGCACACAATACTCTGTGTGGTTAGAGAAGAAACCTTCCTTTGGAGTTGAACTATTTCCTCTAGTTTTACTGGAAAATGTTACCATTGCAAAGTTTTATCTAGAAGAAAATATAGTTGCTGTTCTTACTTAGCAAACTCCTCTTCTAGTGATGCTGTTATTTAAAAAAAATGCTTGTAGAGCTATATAGTTTACAGTTCCTGGCAAAATTGTGCATAGTTTCATGTCTAGATTAAAGAAATCTGAAGGGAAACTGCTATGAAAATCCTAGTGTGTCAGAACTGAGGCTGACATCATGAGGAAGCATAAGATTTTATGTGGTAATTTGAAATTTCTGAGTAACTAAAAATGCAGATTGTTTTGTTCCCTCTGGAAACCAACCCAAATGCATTGATGAGAATATAAAGATTCATCTTGAAAATTTTGGGTTTGTTAGATGGAATTTCTTCCTCTCTACAATAGCATTTTTATTTCAAATTGTATTGAAAACCTCCCAGAGTTTAGGAACTGTTTGAATTATCTTGGCTATGAGAAGTATTAAATATCTTGAATCCCTCAGAGCTGCAGAGGTAGCAACTCTGTTTCTGTCTGCAGAGGAACAAGCAGGTTAAAACCAAGATTCTACTGAACCAGGATTCTTGATTGAAAGGAGGAAAAGAAGCAAGAGCTCATGAAAGGGGATGATACTTTTCCTGTGGCTTTGTTCACAAATACAAAAAAGATTACCAAGTATTTTGCTAGCAATATTTTTAGCTTATTTTTGAAAATACTGCATTTTAGTTGTTTAATTCTCTGGAATGTACATATTTGGGAATAAAAGCAGAACAGTCTTTAATTGAAGTTCTCTTTGAAATCACCTAAATCTTCTGTCCAGTAGTCAGTTTTTAGGAAAGAAAACAGTTGACTCGTTAAAAGTAATTTGAAAAGCCTTGAGGTTTACTGCTTTGTCAGATATTAGATAACAGACTAATGTAAAGTATATGCTTCTTCAGAGGTGACAAAAGTCATCTCAGTCTTCTTGTCAGCATGGTGGGGGAGGGAAGAAGTGGTTCACAGGTGCCTTTTCTACTTATTTATTGAATTTCATACGGTTATGCGTTCGGGCAGAATAATCTCAGCTAAAATCATAATCAGATTGGACCAGGCAAGTGAGAGTAATAAAAGTAAAATATTTGAGACTGCTGGCTATTTAAATTTACGGCAAATTTTGAAGTGTTGCATAAAGTGTTGAAGAAATTCTCATCTTTTATACACTTAATCTCTCTTTTTAGGCATGCAGTACATTAAAGAAACCCCTGTTTAATTTGGTGAAACAAACTAATTTTAACAAAATTTTGGTTTTTAATACTCAACAGTGACTGTAAATACAAAGTGAACTGTGAATTGCTATCAGGATTGCCATTGCCATTAAATGACCGAAAAGTAAATCTCTTCAGTGGAACTACAGAGATGAAATCCTGGACAAATGGTATTGTATGCTGAGCCCTTCAGAATTTTTTTTTTGGTGCTTTATTTGCCAATGAAATCTTAAGGACTATCTTCAGTTCCCTAAGATGTTGGCTGGACTCTTACTTTGCATATATAAAAGCGAATCTGCAATATCTCATATGGTAGGTTAGTGAGAGGTTTGGGGTTGGGTTTTTAGCAGAATTCTATTCTAGAAATAATTCTATCTGATATTTATGCCTCTCAGGTACTTTAATGGTACAGCAGCATTCTTAGTAGTCTGATACATTGTGTTTGACATGTGTTATTAGCAAGTAACTTGTTTTCCTTTATTTGTGGTCAGAGAATGTGACTGCAGATTTGGTTTGTTGATTGTTCTTAATAAAACTTGATAAAATGGTATGCCCACCTTGCTGAAGGTCAGAACTTTGTTATTTATGCCAGTTCAAATCTTTTTGAGGCATTCACTAGACTGGATCAAATAATTATATAGATTTAATAAGTAGTACTTCATGTTGACCCAGTATATTTCACATGTGGGACAGATGTCTGTGCCACCGAGAAATCATACTGGAACTGCAGTCACTGCACATAACAAATATGACATTTAGCCTTGCATAAATGCATGGTTTATTTGGCATACAAGATAGAGAAAAATAGGAAGCAATTACTTGTGAATAGATACTGCATTCTGTTTCTTTGCAACAGGTACTTTGGAAATCAATGTTTTTAGAATTATTGATTCATATGGATAATTATAAACATGGATTTCTTGAATTAAGATCAGTCACAGGGTTCTTGTTTAGTTTCAAATTATACTGTCAGTCTGAGCTTGTAGAACAATTTTATCATCATGTCATGTAACATTTTAAAGTAGTGCAAGAAACACATGCTATAAAAAGCAATTTTTGAATATGTCTTCAGATTCCATTTGTTTGAAACTGTTTGTGTCTTTGGCCTTCAAAGCATATGCACCTTCGGAAGAGTTCTTCAAAGTCTTCCTTCTTAAAGTTATTTGAAAGTTGACAAATCGAGAGTTTCTGTGCTAGGACAGAGCAAAACAGCCTTTTATTCCCAGAACTGTGCAGGCAGGATTGGCTATTTTGCTTTAGGACCTGCTTCCCTACAGGTAGTAGTCTGATCTACAGTCAGCAAGGGAGAGTACAAATTCTTGAAAGGACCTGGTCAGAAACTTTGTGCTTGGGGATGGCAAGAATCTGAGGAAAGATCAAATTCCCAGTGGCATTTTTCGATAGTGGTTGGCTCTTTTCTCAGCCTTTTTCTTGTCACTAAATGTATCCAGTCCTATTGAGTGACCCACCATCACTTCACAAGTTTTTGCAATGTGACAATACATAAGATTTAATACTCATTGTTCTGCATTATGCTCTGTCCTTCCTATCCTGTGATAGCCTTATCTGTTAGGAAGACATGGAGATGAAGAGCCATGTACCTAGTGCCAGTCTCTAGTAGAACATTCATTATTGAATGCTCTTCAGTGGCTGTAGTTTGCCAGAAGAGGCTAACCATCCTGTCTTTTGAACACTCAGTTCTTTGAAGGGGCCAGATGGCAATCCTAGAAGACAGGGCATTCAAAAACTCTAATTTGTTTTTAGATATGGAGTTGAAAATTTGAACTTTTATCTTCCATTAACATTATTCATTTTTCAGAGAAAGAAAAGTATCATTCAGTAATAATTAAAGATCTAAAACCAAGTTTCATGGTTAAGAAACGATAAAACACTGGGCTTAAACTTTTTACTTGCTTTGCTTAAAACATAGAGTATGAAAGATTTTCTATCAGTTCGGGGAAAGTAGCTTAAATTTAGGGCTAGTGATGTTGGAATGCAAAGATTACAAATAAAGTGGGTAGGTTTTGAAATTAAAACTTCTGGATATTTTTATTCCTTTTCTTATCTCTGTAAGTTAGAACAGGAACCTTGGATAAAGTAGTGAAGTTTTTAATTTAAATGTGCTTACTCTTGAAGTTTGTGTAAAGTCTTACTTTTAAGATAATTAAGAAAACTGTAATTTAAATTACTGGTTTTAGACTGCATTAATCAAATTTTCATTAATCATTTCTGGGACTTGAAGGAACTATAAATATAAAGGAAAATAAGATAAATGAGAGTGATTTCCATATGATTCATTTTTGTTATGTGATTTGTGCCCTCATCCTAATTTTTAGGTAACAAATCTTCAAGAAGTACTTCACTGCCATCAAAGAATTGTGGAGATTTTGAGCCATGGAAGATGGAGAAAAATGCAAGTGTGAGTTGTTAAATCTTTGATTTCTGATCCTTTGGCACTAAATTTCTTATGGCTATTCAGACAGTTCCCCATGTATCAAGTCAAACTGTGAATCTGTATATGTTTTTACGCCTTTTCGGATGTTATCACCGAGTAAGTATAATTTCCAAGAGCAAAATCAGTGATGAAAGGACTGCTATTCACAGTGACGTTTTCTTGATTTCCATTTTCAGCTTAAGCAAAATCAAATAATGATTTTTGCTTTATTGATGTTTGTAGAACTGAAAAGCAGACAAGGTTTCACATGTTTAAGACAGCCTGCTTTATTCATGATGCTGGGAACTGAAAAAGGGTTAAGGAAATTAATGCCCCAGAATTCTCAGATGATGACTCAGCTGTGCAGGAACTTGTCACCTTTCTCCATGCTCTCTACTCATTGTCCATCTCATTTAGCAGTTCTTGCATTATCCCTGTTTGAGGTCGTCAAGACTGGCTTTTGTTGTATTAGACACTAACGTGACATGACGAGTGATTGATCTTTGCGTCCTCTGAAATGCTGCAAGTACAGTATAGAGATGAGGGTTGTTTCAAAGGCTTAATTATAGATCACATTTTCTACTTTTGTTTATAATTTGTAGATACTTTGAAATTTTAAAAAAACAAAGACCATGTTTGCTTTCAAGAAATATTATTTGGCTTTTTCTGCTTGTTGTGATTTTATTTTATTCCAGGCTTCTCAGTCAGTCCAGCAGATCCTTGATGCACTTAACTTGCCCCGTAAATACTGCAGATATTACTTCATGACTTCACGTGGGTGTGAAAGAGCAAAATGTTGGTTCTGTCATGTTCCAGGACAAGGGGATGAAAAGGTAAAAAAAATTATTGATGTAAGGAAGAGATTCTAAATGTGAACACTTTTTTAAACCAAAACATCATCTCCTTTGTTCATTTATATATGGAAAGTAAGTAATCAATCAGAGACTGATGAATGAAAAAATTGTTCAGAAAGTCTTCCTCTCTAGGTGCTTTAACACACATCAACAATTAGGCTGTACTAATACAAAGTAGTCGAATGGACGGATCCTGAGAAATGTCTATTCTGTGCATCAGAGACTTTGAGCAAACCTTTGCAAAGACTTGGTATGTACTGTTAAAACCAAAAGCCATCTATGGTATATTACCTTCTGCATGTTTTGTGGAACAATGGACATGTTTGTTTGAAGATGCTGTAATCTCCTTAATTAGAGCAACAATTCTCATAATATTTGCAAACAAGAATAGTTTTCCAATGATGGGCAAAGTAAATGTGTTTTCAGATCATTTAAAAGAGGCATTTTGAGTTTAATTCTTCCAAGAAATGTGCAAGGCAAGCTAATTTTACTGACAAGTAATAAGATTTTGAAATTGGCTGTATGAAAGTTTTCTGAGTTAACTGGACGCAAATGAAAACATCAAACAGGTAACCAATAACAATTGCCTAACTTGTCCTCATCAGGTCTTACAAGATTTCTTTCAAACCTACCATCTTACTAGTATGAGTGTAATTTTATCATTGATGTCAGTAAGTAAAAAATTTCAGAATCAAAATGTAAAAAAAAAAAGATTTGCAGTTAACCTGTTAGACATAATTGCTAAAAAAAATTAATGCCTAAACAGCTTGTCCATCTTCCTGATATCTTAAATCTACTGTGTCAGAATTTTTAAAATACATCAGTGTTTAATTTGGTTTTATTTTTCTTAATGTTTTCTCTCTTCCTTTACATATATATATATATGTATATGTATATATCAAAAAAAGCTGCTTTATATTTTTGTTAATGCTTTCTAACCCCTTTGAAATGGGGGGTTAAAATATGACATCTTAAAAATCCCAAGATAATTTGAGAGTAGTTGTGTATGGAACATTTTTCCTTGTTTATCAAGTGTGGTATATCTTTGGCTGGCTGTAGTGAATATTTGTAATTTTCAGCTAGTTTATCTGAATTACTGTGGTTTGTAGTGCTTCATTATATTACAGGCACATTAAAGAATTGTTTGCCTAAAACTATTAAAAATCCATTCTATTTGATTTTATTTGTGGTGCAGCACTCCAACAGACTTTTAACTCTTCTACCCACCATACCTAGCTAAACTTTCCTGGTAGTCTAAAAGTATACCTGAGTTTTCTTTGTTTGTGTATGCATTTATGTTTTTAGACCTGTCCATTTAAAAATGATAATAGGCCAAGCACCTCATGGTGGCACCAAAGTACATAAAAGAAAAACAGGTAAAGAAGCTATAAAGGCGTCTAATCTTATGCAGGAGGAATAAATCTATTCAGGAGAACTGTTGTGCAGACTGATAGTCCACTTGCTTAGAGCTCAGTGTTCTCAGTGATAATAGTCACCAGAGTGTTTGAAGGGAAATACCTTTCCCCATAATGGCATTTTTTCTTCTTCATTAAGTAACTGGTTGATGCTTTAAGGTATAACTTCCTAGTATTTACCACTTTACGGTTGTAGTTGATCACACAACACAGCAGTGCTTGAATTCATAAAAACATAGTATGTTTTGAAAATCTGCATACTCTTGAGCTCAGCAAGTTGTACAAGTTATCAATATTTCAGTATTTTTTAAAAAGATGCCTCTCATTTTCAAACAGTGAAATCTGTTTTGTATTAGGTAAAGTAAACAAAAGACTGTTTCAAATACTTGCCAGAGTATTTAAAGGAAGGGTGGGTCTTAGAAATACGTATCATGACGGAGAAGAGGGTAAAGGAGGTGATGCTGGACTCTTCTCTGTGGTCCTCAGTCAAAGGGCAAGACACAGTGAGCTTAGTACAGTAAATTGTTTTGCTCAAATAACACTTCAGAGTGTAGTACAGGCAATCATTTCATGGTGTTAAGTAAGTGGTTTCAAAACATGTTGTCATGCAAGCTGTATTTCTCTTTGTGATTTTATTTTAGCTTTGTGAACCTTACTCTTTTTTTTTTTTTTTTACTCCTGTCCATTGAAGAAGTTTTTACTTTCTGTGACTTCATACTCTCCTTTTCCTTGATTTTATGAACTTCCTAACTGGAAACAGAAAGGATATAAAATAGGAAGGTTTCTTCCTTCATCAGTGTTGTCTTACAGCTTCAGGGCCTTGGATATATGTTTCTGTTGTGGTGGATTTTGGTTTTTTTGTTTTTTTTTTATTTGGCTTCCTAAAGAAATATGATTCTACACTATCCTTTTATTACTCTCTCTAAACACTATTAAATGACCTTTGAACCTTTTGGTCAGTTTCAGCCACATTGAATAGGAATTGTGTATCTCAAAGCTTCCACAGTATCCCTGTAAGAAGGATCCTGGTTTTGATCTCACTGAGATAAAGGCTGCAGTATGGGGGTTTCTTCCTTATTGAACAATAGAGTGGGCACTGACTGGGAGATACTGAAGTATTTAGTCAATTTCTGTGCTTGTTCTTCTGAATAAGCACCTCTGTGTTATTGTAGTAGGACCATGTTTTTAGTGGAGAGTTGGTTGGTTGTATAAAATACAGAAGCCTTTATTATGGTTTATTAAATTGTTGTGTTAAGTGAGTCATGGAATCAACTGGTAGGTGACAGAATAGTGTGATTTATACTGCCTTTTGAAAATAAGAATAATCTCTTTCATGTACCTTCGTTCAAAATCTAGTACAGATAACTCAAAATTTAAAGATTCTCACATTTTTACATAGTTTGTGGGTGCAGTTACACCTTTCAAAATTGGAACAATTTAATCAACTGAAGCCTTCTAGAAGGTGTAAATTAATAACACGTTTAGTTTCTTTTATTAATGTAATACAGCATGTCCCATGATTGAATACTACTACAACTGGTTGTCCAAGCAATTTCACTAATACTGGGAACAGTCAGAGCTCCAGATGCAATCTTGGCTTCTTTTGGGAGTCAGTCCAAAGAAGGAGAAAAACTAATTCCAAAAGGAAGCAAACTAATTTCCATACTGTAAGCATGTGCTAAAGTTTATTCTGGAGATGCCCTCAGCCACCCAGGAGTGTAGATTTGGATTAAGTGAGTTAACCTATTCCCAAGTGACACTTCACGTATATTAATGACCAAAAATTTGACATGATTTTCTGAAAGGTGTATCTTGGCATATAGCTCAACATTTCAATATTGTTTCCAAATAAAAACAATAAGCTTTATTTATACTTAGATATGTAATTTTTGTATTCTTTGACTTGATGATCTAAACAGGTTAATGGCTTTAAAATAAGATGTCTTGACCATAAACCAGTATCTTCTACTTTGATGATAATTCATTTGCTGCATAATGAACTTCATGGGTGAATCCTCTGTCATTTTGAAGTTGCATGTAAAAATAAACCTGATTCAGTTATGTATTACCATGACTACTAATTTAGGGCATTTTCTGTCTCTTGATGTTTAACTATTTCACAAAATAGTATTAAATATGACCAATTTACATTGTTGTGCAAAAAGACTGTGAATGTTCTGGAAGTGACAGAGAATTTCTAAAAGGGGGTGGGGGTTTTCCCTAACTTGGAATTCTAAGATATAATGTCACTGTCTTTATTTCTTCATCTGCAGAGATGGAGCAAAATGTGTAAGTATCACAAAGCTGACAGCTTAAGATGTTAAGACAAGAAAGTTCCAATACTAAATAACATTAAAATATCTAGGTATGGATTTCTTTTTTTTTAGTCAGTTCAGTCTGCGGTGAAATGGCTCATTAAATCAAGTTAGTTCTGAGCTTTTTGTTCTGTGTCCTAATGAATGATTCTTTGGGACAGAGTCTTCATTCCTGGATGATTTTTTGATTTCTTAGTGGGTATATTCATGGAATTTTAACTAGTACATTTCACTTTCACATTTTTGCTTCCCTTTCTTTGTTTACAGTCTGCCACATTTATACTAATTCTGAACTGCATTTTCAATTTTTTTTTCTTTTTTTGCTTTTTGTTTGCTATGAGTATATACATACACATGCAAACACTTGTGGTTCCATCAGCCTCTTCCCCAAGCATTGCATCTGCACTGTTTTTCTGTTTGATTTGTTGGCCTTTTGACAGAACCTTTGCCTACATACCCTATTACCTTCTTATATTATTTGTCAGTATGCATGGCTTACATGGAAGCAATGTAAAGCTTATTATGTAATACTTATATATAATACATAATAGCTTATTATGTAATACTCATGCTTGGAGTAGTTCTTTTGTTCAGCATAACCTGAAGTTACATTTTACTGTAATTTTTTTCTTTTTTTACAGATTTGCATGGCAATTCTTAGGACATACATTAGTATCAAAGAATCAGGCCTCCTAAAACGTGCAGGTATGGTGCAGTAGGAGCTGTTGATGTATCTTTGTTACTTAGCTTTTTAGAGCAAATTAAATGGGCTGTTGAAAGAGAAATGGTTGCAACTTCAGCAGTGAATAAAAAGTTCTTCAAATGAAAGAATACATTCAATCCCTGCATTTTAATGGTTCAGTTTCCCAGTAAGGCTAGAAATTTAGATAAGCACTTACCTCAGGAAGTTCTTAGAAATCATATTTCCACATAAAATGAACATACCTGACTTTGGACTAGAAATATATAAATAGGGCAGGGAGGAGGTTTAACAGAACCTGAATATTATTAAGGTGTTTTTAACACCCTCACCAAACATCAAAAACCTGAGAATGGAAGCTCTTGAAATCAAGTGTTGCTACTGCACCCACCCCTAACAGCTTTCGTTTAGTCCTTACACCATATATGCAAACGATTATGATTAACACATTTTAGGGATTGCAGTTCATTCAGATCCATCTGAGCTTTTGAGTTCAGTCAGAAAGGGCTTTTGTTTTGTTTTTACTTTGGAGAGTGATTCCTTTTATACGGATCCTGAGCAGTCTTTAAGTTTTTGAAAGCTTCTTAGAGTGCAGCAGAATAAGAACGGGGAATTCAGTTGCACTGTGTGCTGCAGTGTTCCTGTGCTGAGCACATGAGTGTTTTAATGTGGATGACACTGATACCAGCAAGCCACAGTACATGTTTTTCAAGGAAGAGTGGCACTGGACAGATTGTAAGACCATCCACTGTAACACAGAACTTCTAGAACTTCCTGTGTGGAAGGGCCTTATTACGTTGATGCATGTACCAAATCTAACCTGGGTTTGTGCATTCTTCTTGTGCTGCCTCAAATCAGCTAAACTTTCTGGGAACCTACAGGGCCTACAGTGCTCAGCTCAATTATACAACATAATTCAGAGTAGTTAGTCTGGTTCTGGTAAGGTTAACACTGTATTCAAACTGGATCCTTTCACCCATATTTATCCTATCCCTGTTCCATAGTATCTTGGACAATTAAGACACTGTGTCTAAAATGTAAGGAAATAACTTGTTTAAATAGTTACCATCAATTAACCACAAAGTGAAATTCAATTTAATTTATTTTTCAGTCCAGATATTTGTGCAGTATTACAAAGAAGTTACTCCTGGTGTGGATTTTGCTTCTGAAGTGCTGAATGATCTTCTTGTTTCATTGCTCAACAACTGCTTGTTGCCGGAAGTATTTCAGATATTGAATGTAATTGTACAAATCAAGACACTGGTAGGTGACTTTGTAATATTTTTTAAATCTTAGTTTCATAATTTTAGTTTTTTGAGTACTATGTGATTTATAGTAATAGGTTTGTTTTTCTCTGGTACTCAAATCTTGGGTGAGGGGAGTAATTCAGAATATCCTATTACAAAATCTCTAAGCTTTCTCATTGAACAGAGTTGCAAAACTGATTGTGCTTTTTTTGTCTATATTAGCCAGCTGTAGATGTTCTTCTGAAAGTTTTTGAGCATATGGCTTCTTTGAATATAAGAAATGCTGTGCCTACATTAATCAGTATCTTCTGTCAGGTATGAGTTTCATTTGTACTACTGCTGCTTGTTGGAATTTCTGAAATACATCACCTGTTCGAAAACTCAACCGTATCAATTTAAAAACCAGTACTGAAATAATAGTAAAGTCTTATTGTGAGTAGCTGAATTTGTGATATCAATTTTCATTCATTCCTTTGTTTTTGACTGCGTTTTTCCCAAGATTGTTTGCCTTTTAGCTCTGAAGATGTGTTAAGTCATCACAACTTTTAATATGCTTACATTTCTTACCCTGTTTGATATTACAGCTCATTGATGCTGGTATGTTCCTTGAGTTAGAACATTTGGACTACATTATTAAGTTACTTCACCAATTACAAGTTTCCAGTAGGGAAATGAGTACTGTTTTGAACATAAAATCCAGGTATGTCTTTAAGGAGCTATTTCCTAATTGGAACTGCCTACCTCCTTCTTCAGCATCTATTTTTATAAATTTATGTGGAATCTTTAATAGATGTTGGATGTGTTGGATGAAAAAACGATCATATCATGCCTAATTGCATTTTAAAGTGCTGTTAATCTACTGTGTTTCAAAGATCAAGCATTGTTAAATTAAAATTTAGATTTTGACCACAATTATTAGTTTTTTTTCATATCAATCATCATTGTACAATTTGCTGCCAGCTGTGATAGAAATTTATATAGCTAGCCAAATTGGAAACATCATGGTTTAATATATAGTTTATAACATTAATATATCATTTACCCACTTAAGCAAATGGTACTTCTGCAGTAAACAACCCTTTTAGGATTAGTTATAATCTGAAGTAGTTTTCTAGTTTCCATTACAGTGTGACTACATAAACATTTGTGCCAGCACTACTAGGGAGGAGGGTCATTTTTTGAGTACTGCTGGGATATGCTGGACAAAATGTCAAATCTGTTAAAAAACTTCTAATACTTCACCATCTCTTGAACAAGATTATGATCCTTTTTAATTTTTGTGTCGTCTGCCTCATATATACACACACACAAGTGGAGAAACTAAATTTGTGATTCCTAAACATACCTTTGATTCTTAGTGGAAACCAAATATGCAGAGTGAAAAGAGCTCTGCTCAATTATTTGTTTAATACATGCAATAACTTCCTTTGGCAAGATTTTAAATGGGCGTTTTCAGCGTGCAGTTTGTGTAATGTGAAGCAAATAGGATCAAAAATCACATCAGTTTAATGTTCATATGTGATAATTTGTTGTTCAATAGTATATGTTAAAATTCATGTATTTTTTTTTTTTCAAATGGAAGATTTAAGGAAAGATATTTTGAAAAGACATGGATTTTTGACTACAACTTAGCAGTGGCTGAAATTCAGGTACTGTATGTGCAATCTTCATTACTTCTTTTAAACCTACATGAAATAGCTTTTTCTAGGCATATATAATTAGTGGGCTTTATTATCAAGTATAGTGAGCGTATGCAATGCCGTGTTTGGGAAGGCTTAACATGCAGGGAAAACTCTATTTGGCCTTTCTGTAATGTCAGAATTTTGATTTGCATACTTGTAGTTTTATATCTTCGTTTTGCATCAAATTCAAAGATTTTGTAACTTTAAGCAATTATTTCCTCTGCTTTACATTTGTTGCACTTGTAACTGATAGTGGTACATCATTCCTCACCAAAATTTTTTTTAATACATTATTTAGAAGATAGAATTCATATCTGTAATTGTAAAAGCAGTTGACAACATCAAGCAGTATTTTAAAGAATAAGACAGTATTGTAAAACATTTTTTATTTTGACACTTGTGTCTTTCATGTTCAGGGTCAGATTACTCATTATGCACAATTATAATACTGTTTACATATCATCACACATCCTATGTAGATCCAGAGATTGAAATATAAAAAGGGAAAAAACAGTCTTGATTTTTTTTCTCCTTTAACACCAAAGTTATCAAACGATCTGGCTAGCAAATGACTAATTCATATAGAAAATAACCATAAATTCAGTGTGCATCATGGAAAAAAATACTGAACAAATGCCAGTTCCTAAATAGGATGAATAGGTTATGAGCTTTCTCAACTGGGGTCATGACATGAAAAAAGGAATTTTAATTTCTTGAGGGATAGAAGTAACTAGCAGTCCATGCAATTTTGGCAACATGTAACTGCCATATGAACATGAACATTCTTGGCAGTAGCATTTCATCTGCATTTTTTTCTCCTTTAAGTCTATCCCAGGTACATATTTCAAATTTCACTCTATTTTCTGTTTGGTTTTCTGGAAGCAGCTTTGTTACTATTTATCCTTTGCCTCCTTTACAGCATTGCAAGGAAAAAAGGGATTGGACCAAGCTGGGAGCTTTGTATCTTAATGCAAGAACTGGATGTGAACATTTTGAGGATCTTCAGAAATTGTTTATATCTATTGCTGAAATTCTAACCAACGATTCTGAGACAGACCAACCAGGAGTCCCTTTTTGTGATTTTGCTGATACAGGTAAAATTAAGATGCAAGAAGTGCTTTTGGTAGAGGTTTTAAAAGAGATAAAAAAATAGTTTTCTGATTATTAATTAATTTTATGTTACAATATTCTGAATCTTCTGAGGTGTAAACACAGTCAAGTGTAATGTTCAGTACAAGCAATTTTCCAGTAGAGATAAAATGCTTACACTTAAGGAAGATTCTGAAGGAGGAACAGTAAAGTTTTGTGAAATCAAAAAGAGAACCTAGAATTCATGATCTTTCAATAAAAATGCCCTATGCTCAGGACACCAGCAAATATATTTAAGTATTTTCATGTAAAGTGTCACAGGAAAATGTTACATTATGTTAATAGCATAAATAAGCTTAATGCTGTAAGTATATATATGTATACTTGTGTATTTTAAAACACATTGAAGAGCTTACATCCTGTACATAATTTTTTTTTGTGTATACTTTTGTTTAGTAAGTTGGATTTTTAGAATTCTTTTATTCCGCAAAGAATCAATGATTCCTGCAAGGGCTGAGTGCTCAAGAACCCAATGTTTTAATAGTTCTGGCAGGTTTTCTTGCCTCTTTCCTCCCTATGTCACTTCATTTGCATATCTGTATCATTCTTCCTAATGAGTTTGCAGATTACTGAGGCTTGGTGAAGTGTCAGTGGAATATTAAACCGTTTTACAAAGAATTACTTAGATATTTTTCAACCTGTATTATCTACTAAAACATAATGAATATTTGTTCCAGATTTGTCACGTATCCTTTCTGACCACAGACTTTCATATCATAAAAAAGCTTCCAGTTGTGACACAGGGAGAAGATTCTATTGGAGCGTGGAACTTAGTCTATCTTTCCTAGAGCAGTGGTCTCCCAGCTGATAGGCACCTCCATCAGTAAAAAATTTTTGAGCAGTGACCCACAATTTATTTAATTATATACATGCACTACTACACCAATACATTAAATTCTCTATAAACCATACACAAAAGCAGGAATTACAAATACAAGATAAATATTAAACAAATGCTGTATTTTAAAGTATTTTACTTATTTTTATTTTCTAATAGTACAAAAAATGTTTCATTCCCACTTCTGAATGGATTGTTGTAGACACACCCTACTTTGAGAGCACTGCTAAAAAATTCTAACATGCTTCCAAAGAGGTTGTAATTACTCAGTTCTGCAATTACCAGAATTTCTTAGTGGTGTCAGAAAATATAAAGCTTGCTTTACAAATAATGATGTTACAAATTTATGCCATTACATGTCCAAGCATTTTATGGATGACCTAGACTACTTTGAAATATTGTCTGCTGATGTTGCTACTTTCAATGGCAAATATTCCAGAAAATGTCCGTAGTATTTTCACAATTACTGTGTTTTTGAAATATGTAATTTCTTTAAAACTGAATTTGCCTGTTAAATAAATAAGCCTTATTCTTTTTCTTTCCAGTAATGAAGAATTCACAGCATAATAAAGCAGACGGACTTTTCATTGGAAGGACTGGGATAAGCGTAATGTATTCGTATCACAAAGTACTGCAGTGGATAAAGGTATGCAGTGCTACAGGAACCTAACTGGAAGAAAAAGAGAAAAAGAATTAGTAATTTCTCTTCTGGATATTAAACTCTAGTTTCTCTAGTGGAATGACTGGGTGTGCCACCTGCTTCCCTGCCATCTTAGTACTTCCCAGCTGTCCAGCTGGATCAAAGCATTTTATTATGCCTTTCTGAGCAGTAGTCTTCTGTGGAGGCTATCATAACTTGGTCTTACAACCTAGAAACTGACTGCTCATGCTCATTTTGTGATTTTCTGAGCGGAGATTGAATCTGAACTGAGATTCTGGGGTGAGGTGCTGATGGGATTATTTCCCAGAAAAAAAAAAACCTAAACTCTTCATTTGAAATTTTACTGTACTTTACCCCTGACTCAGTTTGGAACACAAAACTGCATCAATACCTATAAATCTGTGTCACCAAATTAAATCTCTTCTATCTTATGTAAATATACTCTGTGTTCACTGATACCATTGCTTTCTGTAACCTTCCTTCTTTCCCTCTCCCTCTTACACCAGGGAAGGAAAGTTTTGGATAAACTGCATGAGCTACAGATACATTTTACCGTCTTGAAAGGACTTGTAGGTGCAGGGAGGTCAGCATCCAGATGTCAGATTGTTAATAAAGCCGCAGAAATCTTTCTTTTTTCTGGAAATTTGGATGGAGCAACAAGGGTATTGAGAGGTAAGCCTGTCTTAAAATTTTGAATTTAATTTGAACAGTTCACTTCTATGACAGATTTCAGATAAAAGTTACAAGCTGGTCTGTGCTACTAAATACAGTCAGCAACAAAGGAAAGGTGATCATCTTACTGGCTAATATTCTATATATGTATAAGAAATATTACAACTAATTTTTTTCAGCTGTTTTCACAGTATTCTATCAACACCATTCTATCTAAAAATCTGCCATAATGAGGGAGGAGTCCAGCTTGGAAAATGATGCTATCCTATGCGAGGAGTGTAGTTTTCCTTTGAACCAGGGGACATTCAGTATCAAATTTCTGGCTTGGGTTAATGCAATGTTCCTTTGTGCCTCACAGTATCCTCATTTTATGTAATTTCTTTAGAACAGTACCGTATTGCTGCAATTATTACATATGGCTTTTTGGAACTCTGATCTGCTGAAAAGAGAAGAAATTCAGAAGTAAAAAGAACAAAATGTATGCTGTAAAGTGATATATGCTGTAAAGTGATACTGAGATTGCAAATTTGTTGTTCAGTTTTATAGCTGTACATAGATACATACATATCTATATGCCACTGACAGTCCATTTTACTGAAGTGATATTTCACAAAAGGGGTGATTTGCAATATAAAGGTTCAGAGAATCAGTCTAAGGAGTTTTGGTCATGAGGAACAAATTATTAATAAGTCAAGCTGCACTTCCTGTGCATTTTTGAAATTTGTGTTATGGCACAGTTTACAGTACATTCTTAATGGCCCAAAATCTCAACAGCCACAAGTTCCAGTTCCTAGAAATAACTGCACTGTTGTCTGCCACAGATTCAGAGTGGATCACTGATGCACCATTGTGGCCCTGTGATAAAATGGACATCATCAATCGACATAATCTATTATGTGCAATAGTGCACAAATACTTGAAGAAGAGTTTGTACAGGCAGGCATTTGAAGTTCTGCAGAACTTACCAGGTTTGCAGAAACATTCTGGTAAGTAAAGAAAAAGATGCTGTGGAAAGAGCTAAAAATTTAACAGATGGTTCTGTGCTGTTCTTGTAGTGTTTTCTAGATAAAATTTGTTGAAGAAGTAAGATGGGTTTATACAAGCCTGTTTCTGTTTTCCAAAGAGTATAGTGTCAGTTAAATATGTGTTGTGCCCTGTAGCTCTTGCTGCACTTGTGCAGACACACTTGGATGTGCACACACGCCTGTTCTCTTTTGCTCAGTTACTATATAGGGCAACAGGAAAGACCAATTAAATTTTTAAGGATCTATACAATGAGATAAAACAGGAATATTTTAATCTAATTTTACCTTAATTTCAGGTGAATGGGGTGGGGATTTTTTTCTTTAACTGAGCTAGCTAACCTAAGCATCTCTTACGTACTATGTTAAGAACCAAGTGCTCTTTCAGGCTCAATTTATCTGACAAATTTTGGATGAGTACTTCACAATGAGAAATGTAGTTACTTAGGGTCCCCTGAGGAAACCTCAGCTGATTCCGCTGTGTAGGTCTCAGTCTGCTGCCCTTTTAGGTATGTTAGGAGAGATTGGTTGGGAGACCATCTACTTTAGAAAATACTAAAAGGATGTAGTTCTTCGAGTTATGAGGTAAATACAACAAGGCTGCTCAGTCCTGCCAAGAAGGTGACAGTTCAGAGTAAGAACAGAAGCAGAAAACCAAGGGGACTTTTGTTGGTGGAAATCTTAAATTTGAGAGAACAGATGAAGATTGTGTTTATAGGCTTGGGCAGGTGAATATATTTTTATATGATTCTGTTGGTTTTGGCAGCAAATAGTTACTTGAACCTTAACACCTGTCCTTCACAGTGTGAATGAACTACTGGATTTTGATGAATAAAGCATTCATGTTATCCCATCCTTGTTCCATCTTGCTGATAGGGGCAAGAGTTCTGATTTAGATACTGATTGAGAGACAGTTCTTCAACTAGATTTGCATTTTGATTAATTCAGTAGTTAATATTTTAAATTTCATTTCAGTTACTATAGATGCTTCTCAACACAGCTCCCTGTTTAACAAGCTGATAAATGCCTGTTTTGAGAACAAGAACCTTGGGGTCTCATCTTCTGCAGTAGACTTCATGCTTTCCAAAAAAATTGCTATTGATTTTATTTTACTTAGAGGATTAATCACAGCTTTGGGAAGAAGTTCTTTATGGTCCAAAGCTAGGACCTATTACAAAAGTAAGTTGCTTCTTAAACAATATCTTCCCCTTACATTCTTTAGATAATGTGCTCATAACATTTCAGTATGCGTAAAAAAAAAATAAAAAACAGTACTTTCTGTGTCACTCTCAGGAATTTACTTGTAACCTAAAATAGTTACTAGGAAATGGTGAGTCGAAAATAAGAATCAGTGCATACTACCTGGCATGAAATAAATGTAATTGTGATAAAATTAATTTTTTACATTCAGTTGCAGAATTTCAAGTATATGAGCTCTGAAATGGTTGAAAAGTGCATCATCTTCACATTTTCATTTAGGCAAATTAGATTTCCTGATACTTCTTTCTAGAAGTGTACTAGCATTACTGTGGGGGTAAAATTATTAATATTTAAGATTTGAGAAGTCTGGCTAATTATTTTATCCTAATTATAAGAAAATTCATTTCAACTAAAAGCTAATAGTCTGTAATTGTTTACAACTCCCCTATTCTGAGCTAAGATAATACTGGGTGCGCCAGTCTGCATAGGGTCTGTCCATATGGTCACATTATTTACTGTTTGATTCTGTCTTAGAATCGTTGAGATTAGCAGACTGCTTTAAGAGACCATCCTTTCTGGGATGGATACTTCCTTTTGTTAACATTGGAATTAGTTTTTCCTAATCTCTTTTTTTTCCCCTGAAATGCTGTATATGTTGGGTTGCTGGAATCACTTGACTGAAGAGAAGGGAACAAAGCAGGAGATGCTGTTCAAATGTTCTCTCACTTTGACCATGATTAACAGCTTCTGTCTGACCTGCCTAAATTGTATATGTGTTATCACAGGCTTGCTGTCCCCAGACTTCTGGCAGAGCTTTTTAATCATAGCTGGTAAAACTCATTGAAAAAAAAATTCCAGTATTTTATAACTGTGAGTATTACATGCAAATGCTGTCTGTTGTGTTCTCCAATCAGGCCATTTCATAGGTGAAATAATAAAATCCATTAAAGATTTGGGGTTGGGGTTTTTCCACATTTAGTCACACAGAAGAAGACAGATCTATGTTTACTATTGGTAATGCTAATTCATCATTTTCTGCACTTCCTCTCAGATGCTTTATCACTGGGTTGCTACCCAGAGCTGCAGGGAAATTTATATCAGAAATTCCTGAAGATTCCCTCTTACCTGTCTGAAGTTGAGATGCTGTTGGCCATTGAAATATTTCTTGTTTCAAAAGCCAGTGATATTCAAAGTTCAAGGACTACTAGTCAGACTCTTCAAATAATACTGAAAAGGTTTGTTGTCAGATATGTACCTTTTTGATTGTATTTATTCATGTGATCATGAAAGTAATAGATCTTGTTTTCCTTATCCTTCCCAAAGAATCCATCTCTTCCTTTTGTTCCTTGAATAAGTGAGAAGTTTTTTATCTCTTTTTCCCATGTGTATACTGCTGTATACCTGTTTTCTTAAACAGTAAGTTCTGCTCTTGCAAAAAATTTAGGCGTGTCACTTAGGCACAGCCTTGTTCCAAAAGTAATTGCATGCCAAAACTGAGTGCACCTTATGGATTCAAGCATGTACATGAATTCTTGCTATATCCAGTTCATTAAATGGTTTGCATTCCTTTACTGAATCTTCCAGAGACATTTTTTCATTAAATGTGCTGTGAATACTGTGGAGCTACTTTGCACTGGTATTAAAGCTTACTACTTTTCATTACCATTAAAGATGTAAAAAATACACTTTCTGTAACTTTTTAATTCTTCAGAACAATAAAATAACCTGTCTAGAAATAAGCATAATAATTATCAGTGAAAAACACAAGGCATTATTTTAATGTTTTTTGTAATTTTCCTGCCAGTGTAAAGTCTTAGACAAGTGACACATAGGCCTGTATGGTACCTAATTTTGTATTTGTTAAAATTCCCTTACAGATCTGAAGATACAGTTCAGAATACCAGTGCCTATCACGAGGCAGTGGAGAGGCTGTTCCAGGCGGCTCATTTATCTGATCCAAAGCTTTTTCTTAAGCGTTTAACAATGAATGTTAATATGGAAGAAGTTTACCTCCTGGAGCACTCATCTGCTCTAAAATGGCTTCAGGAGAATATGAAATGGGCTGAGAAGGTCTGGCTGTTTCAGTAGTTACTAAATAGTTTCTACTGTGTTTGGACTGTGCCTTACTGATTTTTACAGCAAGGTTTCAAACTCAAGTTGTGGTTTTAAATACTATATTGGAGATAATGCAGATAGTAGCACAGAAAGAGCAATTTTTTTCTCTATCACATTGACTTATATAGATGTTTGCACTGGCATCACCAGATAATGAGGAAGCTGCAGCCTCAGAACCTACATTCTCCATTCTTACAAAGAATTAGCACTTAGCTTGTTTCTCCCAGCAGGTAATCATATAAGTGTAGTATAAGCATAGATAAAAGTGTAGGTAAGTGCATTGGTTGAGTGCATCTACTGTTCTTGAGTGAGACATTTTCCACATTCATTCATAGTCTGTAGAAGTAATAGCTATTTCCTTTTGTCTGCCTCACAGTAACTTGTGAGGTCACTGTCCCAACTATTTGCAGCTTAGATCTTCATTTCTTTGCTCCAAAAGCCCCATAAAAAGCACTGAGAATAACTTCAAAATCACCTGAGACATACCTGATTTAGGATACCTTTCTTCACAGAACTGAGAGCCTACACATTGCTCAAACTGAAGGTTTAGTTGATAATTTAATTAGATATTTATTTGATGTAGATAATAGCATATGTATCGTTTCACATTTGTATATATGGATACTTCCACTGAAAAGGAAAACTTGCATTCTCCCTTGATTGTGCGCTTAGAAAGAGGTGGGTTTGCCCATCTTTTAGGTTCTGCCAGCTGCATGATGAGATGGGTACTTCTAGCAAGCTTGTTTCACCATTCCTGGTCCTTCAGGATTTCTGCTTTTTTTTCCACCTGAAAATCCTGAATCACATTCAAAGCATGAGTTGCATAAGTCACATTCTACAGTCTGAGTAAGAAGAACCAAACATTTAATACCAGAAGACTCTCTCATGGCAAAGCAATACAGCCTCTGTCAAAGTTGATACTTAGTGAGCTCACCAGTTTTGTTTAATGTCAAACAGAAGTTCTTTCAGCTTAACTCAGTTTTGCAGAGCCAGCCACTCAGTAGACAATATCCATATTTTTGCTTTCTCCCAGTGTAAGTTAAGCTGAAAGAACTTATATTTGACATTCAACAACGTATTTGGTATCATTTTTCATATAGGGAGTGAAATTTATGTCTACCTGTGTACAGAGAGAGATGGAAAAATGTGCAAATGAAAACTTCCCTGTGCTGTGCTCAGTAGCTTGGAGTAGACAACACTGTGCTACTTCAATATGTTGCTATATATATGAGAAATTCCCTCTGTAAAAATCTTTTCACTGATTACACACTATGCTCTTGGAAAGATTATTTTTGTTGGGTGTGGACAGTTTCTTGTAACTAAAACAGAATAATGTGGTTTGAAAGACTTAACACGATTTTATTTCAAAATATTGATAATTTTGTGAGTTTCAAAATGCGGGACAGAGGTGGGAAGCTGGAAGTAGGATCTTGATAGTTTTATGGTGTTTTATAAAGAGCAATGGGGGAGGAAGGGGAGCATTTTGGAGGAGTTGTTAGGTTGTTAATAAATGTTTTTTAGTATTTCTATAAAGCATTCAAAATATCTGAGTCTGTATTGTCATTAAATTATTTAATTATATTCAGATTCCTGTAATGAACACTCTTAGATATGCAGCAAGATAGACAAGCAGCAAAGTTGAGGTAGAGTTTAATATCTTGTGACCACTACAAGAGCCTGGAGAATGATACACCACATGAGGAGGTTAAGAAAGTGTGAAATCAGTTAGACTATGCAGTTCTTCATCACACCAGAGCACATAATGTAGCAAATGCTCATGAATAAATTGGGTGGAATCTCCCAGCTGTGGAGATGGCCAGCTTCCAGCTTTAACTGGAAGTGGAGGCTACAGGCAGGGTTACCTGCTGTGCTCAGTTCAATGAAGAATTCAAATGGATGTTAATAAGAGTTTCACTTGAGGAGAAATAGTAAAATTAAATATCTCTGCTGTAGTAGTAGAAGTTTAATTACTAAAGTCTCGATGTCATACTCCTCAGCTTAGTAAACTTCAGCCACAGTAAAAGCAATTACATTTTTTTGTCCTTTCACATTCTCCAGATGCATCTTGCACCTTTGTGATTTTATTGGAGAAGGTTTTTTTTTTTCTGCAAATCCAGCTTTATATTTTTGAATCTACATTCCTGCATAACTTTTTTTTTAACTTACTAGAATGATGCGTAGTATCAGAATGATACTGACATGACTGTCTCAGAGTTCTGGACTATTGCATGTGATAGGATTGGAGAAACTGATGCTATTTTTTGACCTTCCACAGACCAAGGACCAAAACAGAAAAAAAAAACGAGTAAGGAGAAAACAATTCCAATTGCCACTTGTAGCAACTTAGAATTGAGAAGCAAGAATGTTTAAAATTCTCTGTTGGGGCTCAAGGCGTCAAAATACAAACTTTTTCAGATGATAATTTTATCTGGTATAGAACAGGCTTTCCATTTAGAAATCTGTGCAGCTCTTGCTGGGCTAGCGGAATGTGTTCTGGGTATGGATAGGGAATATTGTGACCAGATAAAGCCACAGTAGTACTTCCATGAGCACAATAAATGTTGAGAATTAGATAAAAAGCAGGAATTAATTCCTGAGCTGGGGTGGGATAAGGGTACTCTGTTTGAAAATGTGTACCGGAAGCAGGTGGAGCTGATATCTGGCACTGGGACTTGCTGATGACCTTTTCCAATTTATTTTATTCCTCAACGAGTTAAAATAAATTCCAGGTGAAACAAACAGCACGCTTTTCTGTTGAACCAATTTTTTTTTTGTTTACATAATTGTCCAGCCAATTTGCATACATAACTGATTGGCTTATGTTGGAAAGTGAGAAACACACTGCACGTTACGGAAATTATGAAAATCCCCCAAGGACTGTGAGAATGTTTACTTGATTTAAAACTTCACTGAACTATAGATAGTCCCTAAACCTTGACAGTTCTCTTTTTAACCTTTTCTGGCTGGAAATGCAATAGATTGCATGCAAATAACACCAGTCCCTGACAGTTAATCTCCCTTTGTTCTCGAGCACTGGCAGCAATTGACATTTTTGCTCCGAGTTTCTATGTCTCTGTATCAGGTGCATTTTGACACCAGCTACCCTTGGAAGAAAAACAGATGTGTAAATGTATGTGTACATCGAGAGTTGCTATCTTAGGACATTGTCTTAAGCTGTGCCAGGGGACGTTTAGGCTGGACAATAGGAGAAGTTTCTTGACAGGGTGATTAGACACTAGAATGTGTCTAAGGAGGTGGTGGAGTCACCGTCCCTGGAGGTGCTAAGGAAAGACTGGACGTGGCTCTCAGTGCCATGGTCTAGGTTGGACTCGATGATCTCAGAGGTCTTTTCCAACCTAACTGACTCCCCCCTCGGGACTGCAGAGCTCACGCCTGGTTCTTCATCTACTTGGTGTTTTTTTCCTGCAGAACAAAAGGCGACGTGAAGCGCATGCAAGCATTTGGCTAAAACGTTCCCATCCCCTCAGCAAAAGGGCAAGCATTCCTTCTGTCGGGCTTTTCCCCTTCTGTGTCCGTGAGGAGCTGCTGCAGGGGTAGCCGCCCCGACGGGCGCAGCAGCCTCAGGAGCGGGACAGGCCCGCTTCCCTCAGGCGCCCCGGAGGGGTCCGACCTGCGGAGCGCGCGCCTGCCGCCGGGGGCGGGGCCCGGGCGGGGGGCGGAGCTCAGCGGAGGAGCCGCCAGCGGAGGAGCCGCCAGGGGGCGGGAGCGCAGGCGCGCGCCGGGCCCGCCCCCGGCGGGAATCCCCCGGGCCCGCCCCCTCCGGGGCCGTCGGCGGGGGCGATGGGGCCGAGCCCCGGCGGTCGCCGTCCGGCCTCGGCGGTAAGCGGGGCCGGGCGGGGGCCTTCGGCGCGCCTCTCCGCGAGGGGAAGGCATGAGTAAAGGCAACGCAGCCCACCGCCCACCTGTGCGGGGGGTCCGCTCGGACGGTGCGAGGCCGAGCCCAGGCGGTGGGGGGGGGGGGGGGGTCCGCTTTGAAGCCGGGCCGGCCGGGCCGGGCCGCGTCGCGTCGCTCGGTGACCGCCGGTGGGGCGGAGGCCGGAGGCTGCCCGTGCGCGGGCACGCGCGTGGCGGTACTTGAGCGCGGGCACGCGCGGCCCCGAGTCTCGGCTGAGCTCGGTTCGGCCCGGCCCGGCCCGGCACCGGCGGCTCCTGATCCCGCGTCTCGTTCCTGAGGGTGCGAGAGGCCCCTGACTCGGATCGCGGTCGGCTCCGCCGCCCTCTGGGAAGACCTTGCCTTTAGCGGATCTTGAAGCGAATTCTAGCAGGTTCTCTTTCCGGTGGTTAAAATTATTAGTGGTCGGACCACTGTAGCTGATTCCCCTTCAAGCAGTGAGCGTGTCACGTACACCCGAGCTTATTTTCTGAGCGCTGTCATCTTGTTGATTTTCACGCTGTTTTCTCCGTGCTGCCTTCAAGTGTAGGTAAACACCTGAAACAGACAACAGCGGGCTGAGCGGGGGGTGGCAGCGATGTCAGACTTCGGGGCGCCGAAGGCTTCTGCGACATAATTCATATTTCGTTATGTTTCAGCGGGTTTGTCTTTTGAGGTGGGTGCAGGTGAAGCTTAGTCAAACCCTGTAGGTTTTGTTTTTCAGATAAGCCGTGTACCAATTTCCAAGCAGTTAATAGAGCATTTAAAGCAAGAAACAATGTTGCTTTTGTCTGGTTATATAAAGCGTCACCGCGGATTAAGTGAGATTGTTGAGTTTTTTCCATCTTCTACCCAAAGTCCTGAAGCTGAAATTACAGTGAAGGGAAACTGTTTTATGACCAGAGAGCTTGTTAATGTATTTCACTTAGTTTATGATTTGGACTCTTGTTACAGACAGTAAAAATGACATGGTTACTGTTTTACCCACCTACCTGAAAATCAGAAGACAAAAATTACCAAATGTTTGGGGATATTTTTGCTCAGTATATTTTTCTCCTCCCACTATCTACCTCTAGTGAAAATTTAGGTTCTTAGTTAAGCATATTGGTACTAGTAATATGCACTTCTGAAACTTCAAGTGTTTTGCAAAGTAGGCACAGGAAATGTCATTCTGTAGTGGAGCACAGATGATGTTTCTCTGGTACCTGTTCGCCTCCTGTTCTTTAAAACAGTAGGTATGTTATTTTGATAAGTGCAAAGTGTATTAAAAAAAAATGCTTGAAAGAATTGCCAGTAGGGAGCTTACCTCATAATCCCTAATAATTAGGTGTATATTTGCATTCTGACATGCCAAGCGGTTTGTCTCCTGTTGGCAAAGTCTAGCCTACAGTTGCCTAGTGCAGAAGTTATTGGTAAGAATTGCTAATTAATTTTTATAAATGTCAGCAAACCTTTGATTAAGATTCCCAGGCATTGCTGTATGACAGTGATTCTCCCTCTGGTTTTGTATTACCCTCCCATAAAGTAGTTGGCACATGCATTTTAAAATATTAATACTTGTTTGAGTGTAGGACTTAGTAAAAGTTTGCATGGAATTCCATGTGTTAGTGCTTAAAGAAAGCTTCTATTTCTTTGCTTTTTAAATTCTTAGTTGTTCTTTTTTCCTAACTGGAGTACTTTTAAATGTTCATTTTCAAATCAAGATACTATAACAACTCATAATATTGGCAAGACTTGCTGTTAGTAGAGGGAACTGAAAACATTCTTTCACAAAACTTTATGTGTGCTTGCTCAATTTTATATTACTATTGTTACTTTAAAAGTTATCACCCAAGATTTAGAAAATGTACTGGTAAGTAACAGGGGGAAATATCCATGTCCATTTCTAAAAAGGATTTTTTTATTTTCTTTTTTTTTTTAAGTGAGTTAGTGGATGGCTGAAATTTGGCTCAACCATTAAGTTGCTGAAATGTTTTGCTGCTTGAGAACCGTGAGAAGGTATGGCATGTCACTGACCTAATTTACCTTTAGCATATGTTTCAGTGTTTGCTTATGACTTGCATATTTGTGAAACTGGTTTGGTATTTTTGTTTCATGCTTAATTCTTTGACATTCTCATCTTTACAGCTTGAAGCTTTCTGCAGAACATCCACAGTTCAAAATTCTCCAAAGCCATATGCCTGTCCTCAAGTGAGACATTAAAAAGGCTCTCTACAAAACAAGGGTTTTAAAATGGCTCAATTATGAGCAATATGAAAATGATAGCTAACATATTACTGCATTATTGAGTTATTAAAACTTAGTGCTTCAAAATGTGTGAATACGTCTGTAACTATGAACTTAATTTAACAGAGCTTTTCAGTGCCAAAGCTATACACCAAAAAGTTGAAGTTTTGAGAGATGTGAAGAAAAAGGAAGTTGAAGCAAAATAATAAATTAAATCAGTCTTGGAGTATGGTTGCATAATGTGTTCTAGTAGAGATTGTGTTTCATGTCTTTCGTGAAGTAGAGACGCTGCCCTCAAAGTGGTTGTGACCTTGGTTTTAATATTAAACCTTTCTCTGCTCTTCAGATCTAAATGAAGCTCTTGGAACAATCTTTGCTCCTTGTCAGTGAAGCCATAAATGTCTTTCTTGCATTTTTTTCCCTCTGAATCCATTTTAATTAACTTACTTTGTCACTCCAGTTGAAAGATGCCTCAGAGTTCTGTCTTTCACCTTCAGTGAATGAATTCTTCCTTCTGTCATGCAGACTAATTTTGGCCTTTAAGCATTTCTCTTTTAAGCAAGTTCAAAATAGACTTTTGGCCAGAATCCTGAGCCTTCCTTCTAGCATGACAGTGTTGTTTAGATACAAAGCAAGGGAACTAAAGTTAGCCATACTTGGCCATTTTTCATCTAGAATAACAGATGGAACTTTATGATTAATAAACTCAGAAGTATGATTAATGGTTTCCAGCTATGTTGAACTTCTTTTCTGAACTACTGGAAACATCATGCAATGTAGTTTGAGCATGGATGTGGGAAATGGTGTACAAATAAGGTGAACAGAGAGCTGAGCTACTCTTCCTCCTAGCACCTTGGTCTAGGAGGCTGTGAATTTCTTGCATGTCAGTCAACTGCAATCAGAAGGGTAACTGGTTAGTTTACTGGTTTCCTTTGCTGGAAATACTTTTTTTCCTTTTACTGTTTTGTGTCCACTTGCTACCTAAAAAAAGAGAAAAATTCAGTATTTTTCTTTTTCAGCAAGACAATTATTTTGGTGCTTTCCAGATCCAAACTGGTAAAGCATATGACCAAGTGGACTTTTATCCAGAGTGCTTTGCTTCCTGTCTTGCCTGCAAGGTGTAGTAGTAGAAATGTTTTTCCTGCATCTGTGGGCAACTGTGGCATGATTTTGTCATTAAGAGCTTTCACTCTCTCTAATAGCATTATATTGCTGTGGTATTTCACCATCTCCTGCTATTTTGATTAGGATCATGGGCTGTAGTGGTTACAAGTGTTAGTTTAAGAGTCTCTGAGATGCAGCCAACAAGGAGGTAGAAGTGTTTGCCAGTGATATATTTTAGCTTTTTTTTTTTTTTTTTGATCTTACATTTCATCTACATGCGTGAAAGTTGTTTTTAAGTCATAGTAGATTTGGAATTCCATTTGCCTTCTTAAATCATGAGACTTTTGTCCCACTTTTCTACAATAACTTCTGTTTTCAGCAAGCTGACTTCTAAGATTTGCTAATTAAATATTTGCCCTCTTAGGCAGAAAAAATTAGTGTTCACTGCTTTCATGTTTCTAATTGAACAGCTGGGAAGGTTGACAGAAAAAAAGGTAAAGTAAGGGTCACTGCCTCTGCTTGACAACTCGAATATTATCATTTATCATTTGCCAAAGTAAAACATTCTGCTTATTGTCTGAGCACAAATTTGGGGATTTTTTTTTTTTTTGATTAATTATTTCAGTTGGGAAAGTCTCATGTGTCTGTTCAGGATGATTATTTGGTCTAGGATTCTGAATAAATAGCTCTCTGTAAAACAGTCCTGCTAACTATTATTAATAAAGTTATTGATTTAATATGAGTTGGAAGCAGCTTTGTCTCTAGTCTGCCATGTATTTTCCTATTTGAGGGTTGCAATTTGAATGATACTGTAAGGAGTGAAACTACATCGACAGTCCCTGCCCTTCTGATTTGCAAACTAAAATGAATGTTAATCGCTGAAATTGGCCTGATGAATTGGTTAGCTTGTGACATTGGCTGAAGGAGAAACCTATTGTTGTGTATCTCCCAGTTCACATTTTCTTGCCGCTGTTATGTATACTCTCTTGCTTCTTAGTTTGCTAAACCTGAATATTACCTTTGACCTATGGCAGGGTATTTTGGTGGATTTTAATGCACAACTTGGTTTTTCTTTCCATTTCAGTCTTCTGTAACACAAGTGTGCTCATTACAGAACTGTTGTTTAATTTCTACATAATTGCAGGCGTTTGATAATTTGAACTTTCTGAACTTCTTAGAACTTCCTCAACTTAACTTTTCCTTCTCAGCTTAGGTAAAACAGTCTTTTTCTTCTACCATTAAATTTCTTTTAGCCCTGGTTTCTTGTAATTCAATGAAGATTAAAGGGTAAAACGTACTGTCTTTTTACTTGATGTTTTGTATAAAAGAGTATGTTCACGAAAGTAGGGGTTTTTTAATGGGCACAAGTATGGAGCTCAGAAACTAATGCAGAACTTTTTTTTCACTGAAGTTTGATTATTATTCCTGTGGCATAATATTTGATTAATATTCTTGTGGCACTGCTTGAAAAATACTGGATTTGGCTTTTTAACTTGGAGGTTCAGAGGTATATAAGGGTTAACTTTTAAGAGCAGCTTCAGCAATGTCTACAAAAAATACCACTAAACCAGTATTTGCAATTTGAACTATTTGACTGGGAATTTTTATTTGAGGCATATTTGAGATAGTAGAGAGAAGTTTCTGTACTTATTTAAATGTCTTATTCAATCATTAGCATCCACCATTCCTCAAACCTATTGGATTGGCTCTGTCAAAACACCACTTTGTTAATCCCAAGGGGAAAGATCCAGAATTCAGACTCCTAATTTAAATTCTTCACTTTTAAATTATTATACTTGCAACTATAAATGTTTACTCCATTCCATTACATTTTAATGTAATTATATCAGTTTGTTGTTTGGTTGGTAGCATCATACATAAACATTTTACTACTTTGTTAGGTTATGTCTGGACAAGATATTGCTGCAGTGCATTCTTCAATCAAGAACTTTGTCAGGCGCGGATGCCATCAATGCTCTCAGACCTTTCTATTTTGCTGTACATCCAGATTTCTTTGGCCAACATCCCAAAGAGAGGGTAAAAATACTTTAGTATGCTTTCTTTGTAAATATTTCATATATCAAGAATGGAGATTTTCTAGTTTTCCTGCTGTCAGAGAGACAAAAGTAATGTTAGAATTAATTATGGTTGGTACCAGAGGAAAAAAAGATGCACTTCCTTAATTTTTAGCAGGGATAGGTCCCTTGAAAATCCCCTATTTTTAATAATATTTTCTAATTGTTATAAAGAAAATACTGAATCCTTCCAAGCAAATTTATAATACATTTTACTTTATCCCTTTGAAATGCTGAGCATTATATTTGAATGAATGAATGAATTTCTTTAAGCTTGAAAGCCAGTGGATTTTGGAATGTACACAAATGTACAAGTATGTACACCATAAAAATTTATTCATGCAAGGTAATTATAAACGCTGAGAATGTGAACCATATTACTACTTGTTAAAAGCAACTGACATTTTGTGAAACCTAATTCTGCATGTAAGGTTAAAAAGGTTTAGATGAAAAATGGCCAAACTCATCATCTGTAATATTTGTTTGTTTGTTTTTGTTTTAAAACAGGAAGTAAATGAAAACTCTCTGAAGAGGCTGAATGGGTACTTGGAGAACCTACAGAAACCAGGATTTCGTTCCTTTAAGCCAACTCAGCTTACTTTTTATGTAAGAGAAAGAGAACCAAACTCTTCTAATGTTCAGGAACCCTTCAGTGCTTCAGGTGCTTTTATATCGTGTAGAATGTATCTTCCTGTATTTAAATTCCTTCAGACCATTGCTTGTGCCTTGTGCAGTCATAACAACTTTTCAACTGAATAAAATCCTGTCAAACCATGAAAATCTGTATTAGATCATGCAGGTGGGGCCATCCCAAGTAATTAAACATATTAAGCTTTAAAAAACCTTGAAAGAATGAGACCTTACAGCCCTGAGGTCAAGTTACAGTATAAGGAAGTAAAAAAGGTGGATGTAAATTATATTTCTGCTTTTAATACCATTGCCATGTTTAACTGGAGCAACAGTTGAGTCCCTGTCCTCTTTGCAGTTCATGTGTAGTACACTATGTCAGGGCACTTGCAGAATCAGTAGGAACTTACTCTCTAAGCAGAAGCTGTATGATATTTGAAGTTTCAGTTTACTTCATTGTCTCTTGTCTTTGAGACTACAAAAAATATTGCCAAATTTGGAATGTTGCTTTTGATTAACTTTACATACTTTTCTCCAGTATCAGTATGCCTTACCTAACAGAATAGTTTTGCATTCTATATCCTGACAGTCAAAACACTTGAGCAAATTGTGAGGGACCCTCATGCTAGAAAATAAAATCCTGCTGTTTTTCAAGAGAATGGTAGGGTTATGTTTGGTCTCCTTAACATAGCATTTGAACTGGAAGCTGTCTTCTGCTCTTAAATCAAAAACTTACTTTGTAATTAGGGAAATTTAGGCCCTGTAGCTAAGTGATGGGACATGGTTAAACTGCATGTGAATTTTGCAGTGAGTATTGAAATAACAGTATCATCATAACTTCCAACTGCCTGTGCCTTCTTTAGCTTCTTCTGTAAGAGGAAATAAATGGGAATGCATTTAAAATAATTTTAATTAAATAATACTTGTTTTTACAGGGTTTCGAGCAGTCAGTTTTACTTTACATACTAGGGATCTCCTGAGCACAGTACTAGATATTCTCAACTCCTGCAGTTTATCTACAGAGCATATTCAGAGTTTGAATGTGAACTCTCAGCCCCACAAAGAAGCAAAAAGCACAGTGAACAGACCTATCAAATGGGATAAGACTTATTATTCATTTACTGGATTCAAGGATCCTGAGGAGGAACTAGAGCAAGCCCAGAGAGTGGAAACAACTTTACTGTATGTAATGCTTTCATTGAACTGAAATTTTGAAACCTAAGTTGGTCTTATTCTAATGCTGAGTTTTTTTAAAGGTAGGCAATAAATATTCTGAACAATATAAAATGTTATTATCCAACATGTAATTTTGCCATGCTTGTTATAAAGTTCAGATGAGCTCCTAGAATAACTACAGTGCCCACAAAGCTGAAGCATTTTTGTCTCTGCCCAGCAGTCACGTTTGGTCGGTCTAGTTTTGGTTGATCTAGTTTTTCAGATTTGTGGAATATTGGTGACAATTCAAAAGGAGACAGGGGCTCCACTTGCTCCACATAGCTCCTTACCTCTTACAGGACTTCTGTAACACAAACCTATGTAGTTGTTAACTTTATTGTTCCTGTTTCACTATCACATTCTGTTGAGGATGGGAGATAATACATGAAAACTAAGGTTAAAAGGTTTTAATATGCAGGTTTAACACTGTCTTAGTGTTGTGCTTCTCAATTGTTGTTCAGCAGGAAAACTTGAATATTTAAGTCAATATAGTTATAAATGCTGAACTTGCATTGCATGTAGCATGTTTTGTAGTAAAGTTGGCGGTTTTAAAAAAATTGTATGTGCTCGTTCTGGGACACATACACATTTTGTGGCCTTGAAGAACTTTTTGTAACATTGTGATTTAAGTGCCATGAATGCAGAACTGTGCTGGAAGGATCTTCAGAGCAAAGTATGCCCCTTGTCCTGCATACCACCTCATAAATAAAACTACTCTAATATACAGAATTATAAAACACTTAACTGAGATTTAACATGCTAGAGAATATTTTTACTTATTTTTACACATTTACAAGGAATGCCACAGACAGTTACGTATTAACAGTCTTGTTTAATACGTAGACAGCTGGTGTCAAGCCTCCTTTTTTACTTGAGTTTGAATTTTTTTGCTTCAAATACAAATGAGAATGCAACTATTTGTTTGCAACAGAGTATGAAAATTAGTTTATACTATGAACAAAGGCTAAATCTCTTAAGTAGTAAGCTTTTCCTAGAAACAAAATTGCCCACTGAAATTTTAGATGTACTCAAAAGAGTACATGTTTGTCTGGTTGTGATTATTGGAAAAAAGCTATAAAACTTTGACCTGTTTAATTTATGTTCATGTCAGCTCTGTAAAAGTTACCTAACTTAGCCCTTTAGTAGTACCTCCCATATTTGATAGTCTACTATGATCACTTTGTTTGGGGTCTTTTTGTTAGGTTTTAGTGTGTTTGGGTTTGTTTTGGGTTTTTTAAAGGCACATGTGGAAACTCCTTAAATTAAATCGCAGAGTCTGAAGATCTCCCCTGAAGTCATATATGCCTTTTACACATACATCCAAGTCTTACTGTTTAACACTGTGAGTGGTTTTGATCATTAAATTTCCTAGGCCCCTCCAAAGATATTAAGTGCCAAGGTTTCCTTTGTAGATATCTTAAGGTGAAGTGTTTAGAATTTCATTTTCTATTCTCTATTTTTAAAAAATCCCTTTACCTGATAATTTGACTTGAAACACTTACACTATCACTCAGCATTGAGTTACCTGTACTGTTCACATGATCATACAGCAGCATGCTTCTACTGTTGGATATTTTCTCTCCTCTTTCAGGTCCTGGCTAGATTATAATGAAGCAAGTGCAGTAAAAAAACTGAAAAAGAGTTTGCCGCTTAGAAAAGAATTAGAACGTTTAAAAATTGAACTTTCTCATGAACTCCAGCTCTCAGATATCAGGTAATTAATTGGATCACTTGGACTTGGATTAAGACAGTCAAAGCAAGGAAGTGTTGTCTAATACTATGATATGAATGTTAAAAGCTTATTTCAGCAAAACAGCTATATTTCTTATATGAAGATGTGTTACTGCACTGAGTGAATTTCTACAAGTGTTCTACTGGGACAAAGTTTCCTGTTACAACCTGCTCTGAGACCTCTTATTTGTAACTGAAGATGTAAGCTCCAGTTGAGTCAAACACAGAAAAAGAACTGGTCTGTATGTGTTAGTTTAGATGTTTTGCTGGTTAAAATTGCATTTCCTGAAATCAAGTTAATATCTACAAAGGTACTTGACCAGCCATGAAACGCAACTTTGTGCATGGTACATAATGACATTCTGTGAATGCTTAATAAAAATGTTCTTTTAGTATTTAGTTTCTCACTCTCTGGAGAAGGAGATTTGTTTGTTTGAAAGATCTGAGTGCAGTTGGAGAGCTTGATTCTTCAGAATATTTCCCAGAATATTTGTGATCCCCTTTTAATTTTGCCTTTGAGTGAGGGTGTTGTGAAGTGAGATACTCAGGGTGGGGAAAGTGACAGTGAAAGTATTCACAAATGGAAAAATAAACTTTGGGGGGTTAATTCAAGTGCTAGTCTATTTTTTTTAACCAGGAAAGAGAGAGCTGGAGCTTCTAAAATCATGCTTTTGTACTTTCACCCTGTAAAAGACCTTGGTTTCCTTTAAGCTGAAGCCAGGTTTTTTGAACACAATTTCTAATGCTCTGTAACTGTGCTGTGGTGAGGGTTTTTAATATTCTGAAACCGTCTTCAGTGTTAAATGCATAGGTTTGATTTTATTCATGGCTTATATTAATTTTCTTATATAGTTTTTGCTTCTAAAATGAAAATTATTGTGTTCCATTAAGAGTTATGTATCTTCTATACGTTACTTTGTTACAATTCAGAAAAGAATGTGAGTGTTGGCAATCTGACAAGCCAGTATCTTAATAGGACACTATGACCTGTGATTCTGGAGTCTCTTGCTAGTGTTCACAGAGATCTGAAAAGTAGCTGGGACACTGGAGTTATTCCATGTCTAAGTTTAGGACAGATGAAGAAATTGGCACATTTTTCTGCTCCTGTCTGGTGCTGCTGAAAGCAAAGTGATATTGCTAGGTAACAATAAATAATTATTTGAATTGCTTGTATTTAATTAAATTGCCTCACAAGTGCTGTGGCATAGTGCCATTCTCTGCATCTCAAAGAGTGAGGTTTTGCCAGTTAGGTTACTCTAAATGAGATGATGGTGGGTGACCCCAGCCAGCAGCTGAGTACCCTCACAACCACTTGCTCATTCATACACCCCCAGTGAAATGGCAGGAAGAGAATAGGAATAGCACAAGCAAGAAAATTTCTGGACTAAGGTAGAAGTTTAATAGCTGAAGTGAAGCATAACTGTGGGTTCAAGCAAAGCAAAAGGAGAATTTCTCTGTTCCCCGCTGATGAGCAGGTGTTTAGCCGCTTCTGGGCAGTTGGGCCTCAGTATGTATAATGCTTGCTTGGGGAGACAAACACCATAACCATAAGGGTCCCCCTCCTTCTTTCCCTCAATATTTATTGTTGAACATGACATACATGGAATATTCCTTTGGTTAGTAGGAGTCACCCAGCCTGGCTGTGTCCCCTCCCAGCATCTTGTCCACCCCAGCCTACTCCTGATGGTGGGAGGCAGAGTGGGAAGAAAAAGTAAAGACCTGGATACTGTGCCAGGACTGCACAACACCAAAATATTGATGTGTTATGATCACAAATATAAAATATAAAATATGAGTGTTATGAAAAAAATTGAATCAATTCCAGACAGACACAGTACAATAAAGGAATGGGAATTTTCTCCTTTGAGACAGTTTTATATCAATTAAAAGTCTGTAAAAAGGTGTATTTTTTCAAAACACTGGGATTTCACAATTTAGATGCATTTTGAAATTTGCTTAGCAATCAGTCTGATCAGTCTGTGATGGTAAAAATGTCAAAACTATGTGTATTAAAGCCAGCAAGGTAACACCTGACTCTTGTATGGCTTAACAAAAATTACTCCACTGTAAAATATGAATAATACATAGCAACTTTCCATTGGAATCATGGTAATGTTTTGAGCTAGGGGAAAAAAAAAAAAAAAAGGAAAGAAGACAATGTCCTTACATACTGTATTTGCTCCTCTGGACAAACATTACACAGTGTCCAAACAAACTGCATGCTCCATGACCAAACCAAATACTGGGTTGTGTGGTACTTTTTCTCTTACCCTTCCTACTGGGGAGAGATTTACAAGTGCTTTCTACTTGGTTTTATATTTATTTTTCCTGGTGTTGTTTTTTTTTGTTTGTTTGGTTTTTGGGACTCACTTTAAGAAACACTGGAATTTTATTTAGGTTTTTTATCAGTTCAAATAGCATATGACATGGACAGCTTTTGAGTAGCCTTTGCTTTTATTACTATTGGGGTGCTATTTTGCTAGTGTTACAAGGCTTTGAGCTACATCTCAAGTTCTGTGATTTTTTTTTTTTTAAATAATATTGAGGATTAAATGCTTTCAATTACATTTTTATTTAGGTGGCAGAGAAGCTGGGGTATTGCTCACCGCTGCAGCCAGCTACACAGTCTGGGCCGCTTGGTCCAACAGCGACCTGAAATATTAGAGAATGTTAAAGGTATTTCTATTGCTTGTTTCATATATCCTAATATAGTATTGATGCAGAAATGAGCATGGGTCTTCTGTGACAAGGGAGCTCTAGTTCTTTTTGCAAATTCTTTTGATAACTGCAAAAACAAACTTGTCAGGCTTACTGAAAAGCTGGTGAGAACTTACATTTAAAAGTTACTGGGTATTTTTTTAAGTGACCTTTCATTAGAATTGATTTTCTGCATTCAGCTTTTAGTTTACTTCTTAATAAATGCAAGTGGAGTCTCTTGAAGGCTCTAGGCTTAATATTATCAATTAAAGTAAAAAATCTAAACTGAACCTCTCAAAGGGTGGAGGTAGCAATAGATTGTTGCCCATGGTAGATTCAAGACAAAAATGTGAGTAGGTTTCTAACCCTCATGATAATTTTCTAGAATACCTCAAAATGCTACTGCTTTCTTTTCTCATGTGTGTTCCATAAAATAGCTATATTAAAGTTGGTATTTTCTCAGGAAAAACTAAAATATTCTGTAAACTTGACCTACCATTCTTCTCATATAGCTGTTTGACCTGTGGCAGTAGCTGTTTCCTCTAATTGTAATTCCACATTTTATGTCTGTCTGCAGATACCCAGTTTTGAGTGGCTTTCCTTTGAGGGTTCGCCTAATCCTTTGCTAAAAGACAGAGTGGGAAGGACAATGAGTAGTAGTTTCAAATGGTATCAGATTTCAAATTAGTTTCTATCTTTAGCATGCTCAGGAAAAGAAAGTGTTAGAGAAGTCTGTCTTGTGAACCCATTGTAGTCTTCATTTTTGAAGATACTTAGTAATGCACTGGATAAATACCTGTCAGTAAATATACAAATACAGTTGATGTTGCCTTAGGGTACAAGGATGGACTAGATGCCTTGAAGTCAGTGTTGCTCTTTCTTTGGGATTTTGGAAAACTGATTTCTGAGAGCAAGAGCTTCTACTTAAGCCTTGTCTTGTAGATTAATACAACAATCACACTGAAGACTTTCGTGGAAGCTTATTTTGATAAATAGTTGCCTGTGTTTTTACCCTAAAGAATTCTTGAATGTAACTCAACTTAAAAAAACATACTCGCACTCAAAGCTGATTTATCCCCCTAAAAATACACCTAGAATTAGCTTTTTATGTTGTCTCTATTTTAAAAAGTAATGAAAACATAATTGTTTGACCAACTTTTTATTTGTATGTGCTTCAGGTATATAGTGTGCGTTTCCTACTTTATACATGATTTATACAGATTCTTTGAATATCCTCTCTGATGAGATTTTCTCATATTTTAAAAGCAGTCATAAGAAAAAGGTCCAATTAAGAAAAATATATCAAGTTCAAACAGAGAGAAGGCAAATGCTGGGTCATGTTTGTGTGAAAAAAATTCTTAAACTGACTTTTCAGGAACCTTTCAAAATTTTGAGAATAGCAGAAGCACCTACTCTTGTGCATTTGTGTGGCAGAAATACATTGCTGGTGACATGTTAGCAGCCTGGTTAAGTCTTCAGTAATTGTAGGAATGGTTGCAGTAACCCAAATTAGTAAAGAGCTTTGTTCAATCTCTAGGACGCACGGTGGTATTTACAGACCGCTCGGGTATGAGTGCAGCAGGTCACATAATGCTGGGGACCATGGATGTTCACCATCACTGGACCAAAGTAAGAAGATTTCAAATCAAATGAAAATGCCCCTTATTGTGATATCCTTTTTTAAACTATAAACAGAAATATTAATAGGTGCAGATAACCAGTGAGTGATTTAAAGCAAACACTTAGCTAATGCATTTAGCATAATGGTGTACACTGCATTTGAAATTTAATCCTGTGTGTGCTGTTACTGATAACAGTCTTTGCTAGATCTTTGCTTTCATTAGTAAGTCAGTTCTACTTCTGATTAGAGATAAAGAAAACTCATTTGTTATGCACTGTTACAGTCCGTGCAGTGAGTCCTGGCAGAATACTTTGTGATCCATAAAGAGCTCATTCCTATGAAGAGCTAATGGATTTTATTCCAATCTTTTATAAATATGAGATTTAAAGGAAGCTGTGAACTGATGATTTCAATCAGTGACTACTAACCAACCCTGCCACTCCTTTCTGTTCTTCTAGGCAGCTAATGTGGATGTTGCAGAATTTTATCTTCAGTGACTATATCAATTCTGCTGCTGCTTGTGTACAGTTCAGAGTTGATAAGCTTTCTGACATTCTAAATGATAGCATTGTATGCAAAGGACCAAAAACTAAATATGTAGCAATATCAACATGTCACTTGAGGAATACTTCTTTAGTCTTGGTTACTGAAACATTACTGATAATTCTATCGAAAAGCTTTTATTCGTGAAGGGAATTATTGGTGGAATTTCATGGTTGGGAATTTCACCCTGCTATTATATCAGAATATTCTATTTTTGTATTCCAGTCAGTGAATAATATGAACAGTTAACACTTGATCTTCGTTTTCTGGTGGTGCTTTGAAATTTTGCCTATATGTTTCACTGAGGAGGGAAAATGAACCATGGCTTGTCAGTGTGAACAATTTACTAAGAACTTAAACTGAGAAACCAGAATTTAATAGAAAACTTTCTGAGATTTGAGAGTGTTGGTAGTCATTGCAATGAAAGTGTTCTGATTATACTAAAATAAACACTGACCTCTTGAAAAGATAAGTGCTTCAACTTTCTAACATTTGCTGCGGGTTTTTCCAAAGGCATCGTAAACCCACACAAAATGCTATGCAGATGGAACAATGTGTGTAGTTAGTTGTAGTGATGGTATTTGCTTGGGAAGACAAAAGAGTGGTGTGTATTTGAACCTGAAATCAGAGGCTTTTTATGTTGTAATGCAGCGAAGATTATGTGAAATGTTACACAGAAAGTCAGTGAAAATCTTGATGAGGTTGGTGAGTCAGTTTCTAGAGAGCATATTTGTCGATTCCTACCTCATTTTGGAAAGCAGTCCTAAGTGCTATTAATTTTCATTACTAATTTCTAGAAGAAGGAAGCAGTAGAATGGTTGGTCAGGACTACAATATATAAAGGATTTTTGCTGGTTTTCTCTGTTACAAGTGCAAATGATGAACCAAATTTTATTGTGCCAAGAGCTGTTCTGACTCTTACTATCAGAGCTATCTACTATCTATTCTACTGTTCTCCTGAGTTTCTAAAGAGATAGTTCTGAAATCACTTGACTTGTTGCAGCAGCAGCTTTTTATTTTTTGCATGAAAACCTACTTTAAAATAATATCAACAGGGTAGATGGTAGGTAGTGACTACTCTATGAGGAATAGCTCTACCACTGTAACTGTTGTAATAAGTGTTTTATATAGGCATCAGATTATATACAGTTTTTTTATCTGAGACTATCTATCAATATTTTTATGTCCTTTTGGTACCTTTATGTTATAAATACAGATAATACTTAAAAGCTTGTTCAATTATATCTTGTCCCAAAACATTTATACTTGATATTTCTCACCTATGGTATTCTTTGATTTCAATTTTTTTCCCCTTGGATTCTATGTTTGCATTGTTAAGTGTCTCTCTTATTGTTTCTTGTTATTTTTTAATTTATTAAAACTAACTTTAAAGCTCTGTAACATAGAAAATGTTTGTTCATGTGTATGCACAGATTTTTGAGAGACTGCCAAATTATTATAAACTTCAAAAAAGGCTGCTGCTTTTGGAAGATCGGATAAGCCAACTTCTGGGAGGCATCCAAGTAATATATATTGAAGAACTGCAACCTCTGTTCACTCTAGAAGAGTACTTTGAGACTCTGAACTCTTTCTATAATAAACTACGTGACAGCAGATTACCTTTTCATCCTCGCAGTCTGCGAGGCTTACAAATGATTCTGGAAAGGTAGGTATTGGCAGGGAAGGTTGATTTCTTTTAGAGCTTTTTTTTTTTTTTTTTTTTTAATTACACTGCTTATTGCTTGCACTAAGAAAAGTGATATAGTCTCAGATTTTCAGATTTTCATTATGTCAAAGTCTCTTTGTTTCTGAAGGTTTTAAGTGCATTTTTATGGGTTAAGAAGGAATCAGACTGAAGAAAATCCTGCTTAATTTCATTCAAGTTGGACTCACTGTTCTGTCTGGTTTAGAGTGTTGTGCTGGGTTAAATCAAAAATTTTGTGCTGTCGTGATGGTGTTTATATTTTTTGAATATTATTGTCAGTTCTTTTTGAAATGTAATTTTTAAAAAGCATAGCCTACTATATTTCTCTATTCTCATGAACCAAACTTGATAATTTTTTACCAATTATTCTGATTGTGATTAATTTATATTCTTTTATCTTTAGAATTTTTTCTGAAAGCAGTTTATATAAGTAGTTGCATTAAAAATTACTGGTTTTTACTTCCATCGTGTTTCATTAGTGACAGATATGCACCAAGCTTACATGAACTTGGACACTTTATGATCCCAACGGTCTGTGATCCAGCAGCTCTTCAATGGTTTATTTTTGCCAAAGCACAGGAAGCAAGAGAGAATTTGAAAAGAAAGGAGGAGTAAGTGTTCATGTGTCTTTATACACTTAGCTCTTTAAAATCTTTGCATGTCCTGTTTTTTATTTGGAGAAGGAGGAGAATTTTTAAAGATGTATTAATACTGTTTTGCTGAAAAAAACCCTTTTGTTTCTAAAATAGACCCTTACCCATCAGCTTTACTAAGTAAAGAATTGCAGCATTAGTGAATGCAAACTTATTAGTTATTAGAAAGTACCCTCTTTCACCTTGTAGAGACAATTGTACATCATTCAGAAGTAAAATATCTTTGCTTATAAGACAAAAGTGCATAATTCTTTTTACAATTATGTCTCCAAAGAGGTGGAAAACACCTTCTTAATGAATTAGAAAATGATTCATTTTTATTAATGTTAAGTAAATGTGACCAAAAAAACCAGTGAAATGTAAACTCAAAATGACGGAGTCCAACTAGAGAATGATTATTTCTAGTTGTTGGTCAGTTTGTTGAGAAAATATTAATTAGTACCTAACAAGACATAGAAGAAAAAATTGGGACAGAATGATGAGAGAAACACCTTGTGGGTACCCTCTCATAGATGACAATAGTGATTATGATAGGGAGTTACAGCACCATACTTAATATTAGGACCATGATCTGTAATATCCATCAGAACTCTGAATTTGGTTCTTGACCTTGTACCGTCTGTGTCCTTGAGGAGGAAGTAGAAATACTGGGGTTTTTTAATAAAGTACTGTTACAGGTGAGTGTGTGGTACTTGTCCTTTCAGAAGTCATTACTGCAAGTCTTTTTTTCTGCTATGGAAAGCTTTTAATGAGTTGTTGAATTGTCACACTGTCATCAGTATACATGATGTATAGATCCATATATGTTCCTGTGAAGTTATTTTAGGCATGAGTATTGCTGAAGGCTCTATGGTTTTAGCTCTGTTGAGACCTCATTACTTGTAAAATATGTTTTGCAGGTGGACTTCAGTAGACATGATTTGTTGGAATTTTTCCACAACCCTAGTCCAGCTTGGAAGTTAAATTTTTCCCATATAAATTATAACTACTGTATAGCTCTCTATGTAACTGTCCACATGTGACATCTGGGAAAATACTGTCTATAGATTTTGGGAGGGATGTTGTAGCAAATATATGCATTTGCATCTGGGTAACTCACTCTCCAAAAAACCTTGCACTACCACATTTCATAAAGACACCAGTCCAGGATAACTGTGCCCTCAGAGTAAAAGTAACTGTGTTGTAAGAATGTAAGAGCCAAGACACATATCTTGTGTGCTGGATGATTGCTGGTTTGTATGAAATATTAAACAACTATACTGGGTCACAATATCTGCTCCCATAATCCATTAGCTTATGGAGAGGCTTTATGCATCGGGCAAAAAATGTCATGGGTTTTTTTTTTACTCCATATTCCTTCCCAGTTTGTGTCTGACTGCACTTGAGAAAATACTTGAAGTTGGAAACTTTATCTCATGTTAATAGCAATCAATAGACTTTTTATTTTCCCCCCTCTTAATTATCTTACTACTTTTTGAGCCAATTTGCATTTTGTGTCTCCAAATATCCAATGACAGCAAATTGCATATTTGAGTCACATATGGCATGTGTATATGAAAGAGGGTGGAGGTATTCTGTGATTTATATACCCACAGCCTGATGATTTCATTTGTTTTTCTTTTGTTCTTGTGTGATAGGAAATACAAAACAGTCATTCTGTATCACCTCTGCTTTTGTTTTGTCTTTTATCAAAGCTGAAAACTCGTTTTCCACTTAATGCTTCCTTGGACTTCCTCATGTCCTTCTGATTTTCCTTAGCCTTGCGTGGTGGTTAAAAAGGCCCTAAGATAAAGAAAAATACTTTGAGATGTACTGGCTGTACTTTGCACATGGACTTGAATGTTTTGCATGCAGTAAACAGCATAGAATGGCCATAATTCTGACGTGAATGAACAAGGAAATCCAAACGCTGCTGCTCTAGAAAGTTCTGTTATCTGTTTGGATAATGTCAGTCTTCTAGTAATGCAGGATTCTCCTTCTCGTGTTTCTTTAAAGTATCAGGTTTGTGTGGTGATAAAGGTGCAAGCCTCCCTGTGGAAGTGACAGAAAATAAACCTGCAGTTCTCCAGCTTACTGGAATTCTTCCAAGGGAGCCTAAGATTTCACAGAACTGGAAAGCTTGGTGCTTGGTATTTGGGAATGCACTCAGGAAGGTGGCATGGAAATAGTCCATAGAGAGGACAGGCTTGCACTGGGTTAAACTCACTGGCTCAGCTCATCGCTGACTGCCAGAGTGGCCTGGTCTCTTGGGCCTCAGCAGAGCTCAGTGCCATGTGTACACAGAGGTCCCATCCTGAGCTCTGGGGAGTAGTGGCAAGGCCCTACAGTAGCATTTTCATGTAGGTCTCACTAGCTGTGCCTGTGCTTAGCTTCTTGGGCTGGTTCACACCCCCTTGGTGCTCCTCCCCTGTCTAGCACAGGGTCTGTGCTGTAGGGCAGCAATGGTGCTATGTCTGCAGCCAGGCTGGCTTGGAAGTGCAGCTATGTTTGCATGGCACAGTGCCTGAGCTAGTGGGGCTAGCTGAACCTGAACTGTCTCTTCATCAGTTGCTCAGTCACAGCTCCACTGCATTAATTAAATATACACATTAACTTTCTTTCTTTCTTTCTGAGTAGTTCTTTTTGAGTTTGCACGTGGTGTCTTATTTCTCTGGGGTGAAGGCAAAAATCATCTGCAGGCTTTGGATTTAAAATTCATAGAATCATTTAGGTTGGAAAAGACCTTTAAGATCATTGGGTCCAAACACATCAAACAAAACAAAGTTCTGCAGTTGCAAAGTTAGTAACACACTTAATATGCATCAGTTTGCTTTACCTATCAGTTGGTGGTTTTGATGACACACAGAGTACTGGTTTAATTAAGACAGAGTAATTATGAGCATGATTTTATGCTTAAAACCTAAACTTTCAATGTTATTTAAGTATTTTCATTCTTTACATTAAAAATAGATGTTTATTTTTATGTTTTTCCCAGTTTTACATAGTGAGCAAAAAGATGTCAGGGCATGGGCTTTGAAATGTGAGTCCATGGGCATGTAGTGCCCATAGTCATGGAAGAATGTTCACTCTGATTTCTGAGATAGTCACATGTATCAACCTGCACAAAAATCTCAGCTCCACCACACCTGTATATGAATTGACACCTTTGTTTACATGCATTTAATCTATTTATTTCAGTATTTCTTGTTTTAATATATGTTCAATACATATTGAAATGTTTTTTTTAAGGCAGGCTTTTAAGAGATGAAGTTGTAAGTTTGTCACTGTGTGTTGTCTCCATTTGCTAGGATGATGATTACAGAGAAGGAGCTAATCAACACTTCCACAGAAAGATTTTCTTTGGATCGGCTGTATAAGGATCCCAGCGTTTCCAGTGCACAGATGATAGATTGTTGTAAGCGGCTGCTGGAGGAATCCTTACCCTACCTACAAGGCATGCACCTCTGCATTTCGCATTTCTACTCTGTGCTGCAGGATGGAGACCTGTGTATACCTTGGAACTGGAAAAACTGAGGGATGTATCTGATAATCAGATGAATTGTTTTATTTTCTGTAAGAGGTTATAAATATGAATGTTTTTAAGAGTAAATTATTTAAATCTGTATTTTGATATCAGTATTCAGCTCACAAATTTTCTTCCAGCTGCTACTGAGGAAGGATTGCAGTTCTAGACAATTTGCACAATGCGCAGTATTGGTAGTCCTGGGAAAGACATCTGTACGTTATCCATACTACTGTAGGAGTCCCAGTGTATGGTTACAGTTGTGAAACTGCATTTTTGTAGTGAATTCTGAAAATACATTAAATTTCAAGTCTGCAAAAATGTGCATGTGTATTTTTAATATACATTAATATCTCAAGATAAATCATCTTAAATAAAGAGTGTACTGCTCCAGCCAGGCTTTACATGCTGTCTTAAGGGGTTCATTGAATGCAGAAGTTAAGTACAGAAGTTATCTGGTGACAATGCTGGCATTTCATATTGCCACCTATCACTGAATTAAAAAAAAGACAAGAAAGGAAAAAACATTGGAATATCTCTCCTTTGCAGGAGACAGCAGTACATTATCTTGGAGTCTACAGCAGAATTTCATATGCTGGTCCAATGTTGTTGCCTTAGAATTCCAAAATATGCCAGTTACACTGTCTGTGGTTACTTTAAAGCAGATGTCATTCTCTTTTTGTTTTCCGGCATTTGCTCCATAAATACTGGCAATCCTCTTTACTTACACTATAACAGATTGCAAATCCCATACACAACACTTAAACCCTGAGTAGTTTAATGTGACATCTAAGGGAAGGAAGCACTGATTTGTTTGGGATGTCTGCAAGAATAAGTACTTCTCAGTAAGAGCAAGGAGTTTGCAGTATGGCAAACACATGAATACTTACTGGTACTTCATTCCTTGAAAAAAAGTGAAACTGTGAATGCATGTCGACACTTTTTCATTGTAATACATGCCAAGGTACATTTTGGTATTTGGATTACTCCTTAGCAAAATTCGTTTGAGAAAGACCAACTGCTTAACATTTCTAGATTTGAATTTTCCATAACTGGCAAAAAGAATTGTAGAATGCTTACTTGCCTTGTATTTTGTTTTTTATTGAGCCGGGAAATTGATGTGGTTCTCTGTTTTCTCCTGTTAGATGGCTCAGTGTCAAGTTGTTTATTAAGATTTCAAATTTAAAGCAAAAACCCCCACTGTGATCTCAAAAACATCTGTTCTAAAACGTCAGGATAGAAGCTGTGACTTCCTCAGGCCTTCAATCCAGGGGATTTTCTGGCAAGGCCTGGAGAGGTTTTGAAGATCAATTGACAGTTTTCTTCCAAGTAATTAACTTCCATGGCACATGCCCTCCCTCAGTCCATCTAGCACTGCTGCTACTCTGTGTCCCACCTGTGCTAAGCAAATGAGCCAGTCCCATCAGCTGTAGCCCAGCAATATTCCTTCATTCATCTCTTTGAAAGTAGGGTGTCTTTGGGAATAAAAAGACTGTACTAGTGGGGGTTTTTCTTGCTTGAGTTGAATAACCCCTTATAGAGCTTGAGGGAAGGAGCAGCTGTCCAGTTTGACTGTAGAGGAGATGATAAAAGGTCTAAAGGAAGGTGAGTGGATGCAAGCAAGAGCCTGAGGCCATCCTGTGAGGACTGACATGTCACTGAAAGCAGTGACTGCACCTTCTCTTTGCAGCACAGAATGGACAACTGAAACTGGCTGGAGAAGAAGACATAATGGACCTTTGTGAAATAGAGATGGGATGTTTCCACAAGTAATGGGGACCCTGACATGGAATGGGCATTGGAGAAGGCAAAGCTTGACAAGGGATAATGGGACTGAGCTTAAGTGTAGAAGCATTGAAGCAGTTGCTGTAAAACATTTCTAGTCTGGGATGCATCTAAGGATTCTCACCATTCCGTCTAAGGGAAAATAGCCAAAATCCTCTGGCAGAATGTATCATCCCTCAAAGTGTGGCATGGCAGCTTACTTTCCTGATTGTTCCTCCAGGCTAGGGTCTTGGATCTGTGCAATAAACCAGCCACCCTCCCACCAGCGAGATGGTTGTCTCACATGCCATGGGGATGTGCCTTCCCTCTTCTATTAGGGTTTTTTTCCTGAGGTCTAAAGGAGATGCATTATGAAATCTCTAAAAATGCTCAGAAGTTTAGCAGTATAAAAATGAAGGTTAAGTATAGGTCAGTAATTCAGCAGTGTAAGGTCTGGGTGTAACTGGTTTTTTATAGTGCACTTTCTGTAAGTTAGTTTTGCAACTGAATGATCAAGTTGCCTTTACAAATATATGGGCCTCTTTACATTTTTAACATCTTCAGAAAAACTGTGTGGGGGAAAGGTGCATGTTGTAGGTGTTTATTTGGTCATGTTTGATTTATTTTGAAGACTTTCACCAAAGTAACAGAATTATCCATTTAGGTAAATGTATATGGGTTAAATCTGTCAGACTTAACATTTTGATTTCTAACATTTTATATATGCCAGGGGAAAAAAAAGGAGTTAGAACTCTGAAAATCTTTTGTCACTATGGCAGCGTGGAAACAGATGATGAATTGAAACTCTTGTGTTTTTAAATAGTGCAGAACACCTCAAATTCTGTTCAACAGACAGTGCTGTCACAACTCTGTGGAAACATATTTGAATGAGTACTGACACCTACTGTAGTTTTATCCAGTACAACACTCCTGCTTGCTCTGTGACTAGTAACTGAAAACGTTTGGTATGAAGTTTCAAGAAGCATCCTCCTTAAAAACAAATCCTAATATTAAATTAGGTGGAGTTGATGTCTTGCTGTTTTAATCATTATCATTTGGCTTAGATTTGAGTTTTCCTACTGTTAGAAATTTGCAGCATACATTTGGAAGGTACGTAAGAAACCCTACCACTGATCAAAGAATTGAAATGTGTGTTGGTTATCCATCATGAGTCAATAAACCGTGATGCCCAGATCGTGTCATTCAGCCTCTGAGAGTGGTTTAGTATTTTAGTGCAGCTGCCAGAAGGAAATTCAATGCTAAAATAAAAGAGATGGGGGCTTGAGACAAAATTTATCACCTTAACAAGTTATTTTGATGCTGTTTAATACTGTGACCTTGAGATGCAGGCACTGGCAAACAACATTTTCCATTTTGTCAGGTGTTGATATTACATTTTACAGTATCAGTTCTTTGTGAATTCCGGTGTTACAGAACTCCTGCCTGTGTTTTAACAGCTGTGTATGAAAATTGCATGAAATTGCATGCAATAGTGCCCATTTTGTCATTGTTCTTATGGGTATTAACAGCTGGGATAGTCTCCAGCACTAGTAGACTTCTATTCATGTTTTGTAAGACACTCAAAAGGTTGATAATGAATCCAGAGAAAGACTTAAAAAGGGAAAGACTTCCAGAAGATTAGAGCTGATGTATCAAAGCATATCCAAAATTCATCAAAACTCTTCATGGAAAATGTAAATCTCATCTGGTTTGTTTACATGACAGCTTGAACAATCTTTCTGAGGAAACTGAAATTTTTATACTTAGTAATTTCCAGTTGTCTTTCTGAAAAAATATCGTACTTGTCTGAAAAGTATTATGTCTGTGACTCCTTGGACATACTCATGTATGGTATGTGTGTGGTACGTGTATACAAAGATGAGACTTTCCTAGTATTTCTTTATAAGCTTAACCTTATGTAAATTTGTAATAGAGAAGGGCAGAAAGTTTTGTTGGGTATTTTTTTATAGAAAGGTAACCTAACTGAGGAAGAGAAAACATAGTTGTAAATACAGTAATAATGTTAATTTTAAAAGTTGAGACAGCAGTGATCCTTTTCAGATGCATATAAATACTAGAGTAATTTGACTTTAAAATACAAGATTAAAAGCTGGGATCCCAATTCTGTGCATGGAGAAAATGTCTAGATATCTCCCTAGAAAGCCCTGTTAAAACTACAACATATACTGATGTAATGGGGAAATAATCTTGTTTTGCAGTTTGTCCTTTTCAGCTACATATTCCTTACACAATTGCTTAAATACTGAATAATTTAGTACTTCATTTTTTGCTAAATCCTCCTATGGGGTGCTGTGTCTAAGTAGCCAGACTGATTGATTGTGAGCTCAGCAATGTCTTTAAGACAAAAAACCTTAAGAATATATTTTATTTAGTAGAGTTAAAATTTAATATTTTCTTGTCAGTTTTTATATTCTGAAAGTGTCTTTTCTGTTATCGTCTATTTCCATAGCTTTTGACTATAGTGTGGCTCCATATTTTAGTGACTTTGAATTATTTTTAACCTTTTTGCTTTTCCTAACATATTTACCAAAAGAGCACAGATTTAAATGTCTATGCTGTGAACTGTGCTAACTACAGACTCACCCAGCATGCCTGAAATTGGGCTGCTTATCCTCTTTGTAAAGTTCTCTTGGATTTTAACAGGGAATAAGATTTCAGAAAAGTGAGAGTGGCCCAAGTTCATGCAAATGTAATGGCTGCAATGGCAACATGAACGGTTCTTAACAGTGAGATTAAATAAAAAAAGAAGGGTTCATTTTCTACTTTTCTTTTTTTTAGTACCAACATCCCTACCTAGCTATTCAGGAAAACACAAGGCAATATACTGTAGATTAAGATACCAGTCAGTTTTAATTTCTTTTTGATTGTTTCTCTTTCATCATCTCCTTTGTAATTTGATTTTTTTATGTTACAGGGACATAGTTGAGCAGTCAGCTAATGCCTGTGGTAGCTGTGTGCACCCTCTCTCTGTAACAGGATATTCTGGGACCATTTAATAAAAGCAGCAATCGGATGGGAGCCTGATGTCCTCCCTCAAGAGTGCTCTGTGATCTGGCGGCCACAGTTCAAGATCAAGGCGTTTCCTTGATAGTGCTTTGTCCAGCCCACACGTTATTTTACCCATTGGTTTGTCATGCTCCTGGGAACTTCTCATTTGGACCTGTTTTTTTTTTTTTAATGAGATGTTTCAATTTCATTGAGTCAGTGGGTTGGAGTTGTCAACTGAGTTTTTGAATCCTGCTTGTGTTATCATCCAAGGGCATGGGTAACTTCTGTTTTCAGCTTGCAGTGATTTCAGACAGTCCATTGAGACAGAGCTGCAACTTTTATGCAGTACTGAAAAAAAAAGTAAATGCACAGATTTTATGAAAAGGTTTTTTTTTCCCCCCTTAATATCTTGTTTTGAAAGGAAGAGCTTGCTTTGTCCTGTAATTTTACTGTCATAACATGAAGGAGAAGATAGATTGATACATTCTTCATTGGTGCATTCTTATTGCGCTTCAATTTCACGCAGTTCAAAGCACTATGAAGTACTT